GACTTCGAAAGACCGACGTGTGGCGCACGGATGACGGACGCCCGGTGTGCTTCCACTGCGGGGAGGCTGACCACGTTTACCGGAGGTGCCCCTACCGCCAGCTCGGCCTGCGAGGATTCGCTCCAAACGACCGTCGACCTCGTTTTGGAGAACGACCAAGGGACATCGAGGAATACCTCCGTCGCCCTCCGTCACCAGCGCCCACCGCACCACGAGGTTCCCGTTCTCCATCCCCCCGACGTTCCGCGTCGCCTTTCCGTCGGTCGCGCCGTGACAGCCTGTCCCCCCTATCTCGTCGGGAAAACTAAGTACGGCAACGCCTGGAGGTGCCGTTGCCGAAGATGACCTGAGTAAAGAGCCTCCAAGAACGCCGGAGCGCTCCCACTCTCCCAACGCCACGCATCGCTACGACGCGCCTGCAATGGTGTCCAACAACCTAAACGTCGTCATCGACGGCCACGACGCATCGGCACTCGTGGACACCGGAGCAGGCTACTCAGTCTTGAGTGGGAGGCTCTCCCGCCGCCTTCGAAAAGTCATGACGCCGTGGGAAGGACCCCAAATACGAACCGCCGGAGGACATCTCATCACACCAGTCGGGAGATGCACTGCTCGCGTCGAGATCCACGGTGAAACGTGCCCTGTCAAGTTCGTCGTTCTGCAAGACTGTTCGAGGGATGTTATCCTCGGAATGGACTTTCTCTGCGAGTATGGCGCCGTCATCGACCTCGGAACAAACCGGCTGACGCTACGAAAACCTGCTCCACCAGCGGAGGAACCCCAAGCGACGTCACCCACGGTCCGAGTCCTCGCAAATCACGTAAACCTACCACCGCGGTCGAGTGTTTTCGTACTTGTCGGGATCGATGAAGCTTCCTGTGGCGAAGTTCTTCTCGAGGGAAGCCTCCAATTGCTCCTGGGAAGAGGCATAGGCGTCGCAAGGGGAGTAGCTGAACTTCAGGATGGGCGGACTGTGGCCCTCGTGACGAACTTCCGAAATGAAACGCAACACCTCGCGAAAGGTGCAGCCGTGGGCCACGTCGAGGAACTTCGAAACGCCGCCGAAATCGCCACGATTACTGACGAAACCTCGCCACCTCAGCAAGACAGTCCGTCGCCAGCGCAGCTCGACATTGACCCTAAGCTTCCGAGCACGAAACGACGGCAGCTAAGTGACCTCCTCGCCGAATACAGTCACTGCTTCGCGACGTCGTCGAGGGTGCGCCAAACCGCCGTTGCGAAACACCGCATCATTACCGAGGACAACGCGCGCCCTGTACATCGATCGCCGTACAGAGTCTCCGCTAAGGAAAGGGAGGTGATCCATCAGCAAGTTCAAGAGATGCTGAATGACGACATAATTCAACCTTCAAGCAGTCCATGGGCCTCTCCAGTCGTGCTGGTTAAGAAGAAGGACGGAACGCTTAGGTTCTGCGTGGACTACCGACAGCTGAACGCGGTGACGAAGAAAGACGTCTATCCGCTCCCCCGCATCGACGACACGTTAGACCGGCTGCGCCAATCCCGATACTTTTCATCGATGGACTTAAAGAGCGGCTACTGGCAGATCGAAGTCGACGAACGGGACCGAGAAAAGACAGCCTTCGTCACGCCGGATGGACTGTACGAGTTCAAGGTGATGCCCTTCGGACTGTGCACGGCGCCAGCAACTTTCCAGCGTGTGATGGACACCATACTAGCAGGACTGAAGTGGCAGAGCTGTCTCGTCTACCTCGACGACGTCGTAGTGTTTTCCGGCGACTTCGGCGAGCACTTGCGACGACTCCGAGCTGTTCTCCAAGCCATACGGACCGCCGGACTCACCCTGAAGCCTTCAAAGTGTCGGTTCGCCTATGACGAACTGAAGTTCCTTGGCCACGTGGTTAGTAACGAAGGCGTCCGCCCAGACCCCGAGAAGACTCGCGCCGTCGCGGCATTTCCAGCGCCGACAGATAAGAAGGCCGTGCGAAGATTCCTTGGACTTTGTGCCTATTATCGACGCTTCGTTCGGGATTTCGCAAGGATTTCCGCACCACTTACGAATCTCACGAAGGACGCCGAGAAGTTCGAATGGGCCGAGGAGCAACAGCAGGCATTCGACGAACTGAAACGATGACTCCAGACTCCTCCTGTGCTTGGACATTTCGACCAGGATGCGGAAACAGAAATTCGCACGGACGCAAGTAACGCGGGACTGGGCGCAGTACTAGTCCAAGTGCAAGAAGGCATCAAGCGAGTCATCGCCTACGCAAGTCGGACATTGTCCAAGGCGGAGAAAAATTACTCCACGACTGAGAAAGAATGCCTTGCGGTCGTCTGGGCAATAACGAAGTTTCGTCCGTACTTGTACGGGAGCCCGTTCCGTGTAGTCACGGACCACCACTCGCTCTGCTGGCTTGCGAACCTGAAGGACCCGTCAGGACGCCTCGCTCGATGGAGTCTTCGACTACAAGAGTTCAACATGACAGTGGTCTATAAGTCAGGCCGCAAGCACAGCGACGCCGACTGCCTGTCCAGAGCCCGCGTCGAAACTCCTTCCGGCTGCAGCAACGACAATGACGACGAGTGCTTTTTAGGAGCAGTGAACACCGACGATATGGCACGACGTCAACGGGACGATCCTGAGCTGCGCGCATTAATCGAGCACCTGGAAGGGGGCAGGAGTACCGTGCCACGTGTCTTCTCACGAGTACTGCCGACCTTCGCCATCCGACAAGGTGTACTCTACAAAGAGAACTTCGGCGACAACAACACACCGTGGTTGCTGGTAATCCCGAGTGACCTTCGAGAGGAGATCTTCCAAGCCTGCCACGACGACCCGACATCCGGGCACCTTGGTTACAGCCGGACACTGGCCCGTATTCGTGAAAAGTATTATTGGCCGAAGCTCCCCAAGACCGTCCACCTATACACACGATCATGCCACTAGTGCCAGCGACGCAAGAAACCGCCGACGAGGCCGGCCGGACTTCTGCAGCCCATTTCTCCTCCAACTTCACCCTTCCAGCAGATCGGAATGGATCTACTTGGTCCTTTTAAGCCTTCAACGTCGGGGAACCGCTGGATCATCGTCGCCACAGATTATCTCACGCGGTACGCCGAAACGAAAGCTCTTCCTTCAGGGACTGCTGTGGAAGTCGCCAAGTTTTTCATCGAGTCCATCGTCCTCCGGCACGGCGCTCCTGAAGTTCTGATTACAGATCGCGGATCTTCGTTCATGGCCCAGCTGACACAAGAGATCCTTCGTCTCAGTGGCACCGGCCATCGTCGAACCACTGCATACACCCCGCAGACCAACGGGCTGACCGAGCGACTCAACAAGACGATCGCCGATATGATCTCTATGTACGTCGACGTAGAGCACAAGGCGTGGGACGAGGTGTTGCCCTACGTCACGTTTGCCTACAATACGGCGGTTCAGGAGACCACTGGATTCACCCCTTTCCAGCTGGTGCATGGTCGGAAGGTGACGACCATGCTGGACGCAATGCTGCCCCATGAGCCATCTGACAATGAGAGTGACGACGTCCAAGCGGTTGCTCAACGCGCCGAAGAAGTCCGCCAGCTCGCCCGACTCATGATTCAAGACCAGCAACGCGTCGACGCGAGCCGCTACAACCTTCGTCGCAGGGACGTTCACTTCCAGCCCGGAGACAGGGTGTGGGTGTGGACGCCCATCCGTCGCCGCGGCCTCAGTGAGAAACTGCTGAAACGGAGCTTTGGACCATACAAGGTACTTCGTCGCCTCGGCGAGCTGAACTACGAGGTGATGCCCGACGGAACAAGAACATCATCACGCCGCCCACCACGACCTGAAGTCGTCCACGTCGTGCGCCTGAAGCCGTACTACGCTCGATAGGACTGTGGATCTTATGTGTTTCAAGTGACTCTTTAGTTTGCCGTTCTTTTTATGTGCTTTGTTTTGTTTTGGGATGCATCGGGGCGATGCACTTTTTAAGGGGGGAGTAATGCCGAGCGCCAAGTAGGCAGCGCGGCCGTAGCCTAACGGTTATCGCGCTTGCCTCCCACGCGAAGGGCCAGGGTTCGATTCCTGGCCGCGGCTATGCATTTTTGTTAACACTGTAATGTGATGTTCTGGTGAAATCGAGAACCGTCTAGCTGATTCGAGGTCAGAATGTTCTACGCTTCGAACCTTCTACGTCGAATGCTCCAGAAGCCAACGTGTGTACAAAAGCGGCTCCGCGGGCAAGCCGGAGCCAGTTTTCGCCTAGCGTTCGACTCTGCTGCTACGCAGACTTCGACGCCCGCGACGCTCCGTTATTATCTTTTTTACCCTTTTATTTTTGGCACAAGTTCGCCACTTTAAACGTTTATTTCTTTCTGTTTATTTATTGTCTATTTGTCACCACCCGTGACAATACAACCTTCACGAGTTCAGTTACATTTTTTTTTTAAGCATGGTGCACGGTAGTAAAAGGCTTAGAGAAACTATTTGATATTCAATCAAAAATATTCGGCCAAAACCACCATTTACTTTGAATTCGCATCAAACTCAAAATACACTATTTTCACATGCCTGACTACTTTTGTGCTTGTTGTTTGTTTTTGGATAAGAATTTGCCTCCACATCTGGAAAAATTTCCCACCCCATATTTTTTAGTGCTCATATCTTCATCAGGGATGGACATTAGTTTTGGATTTTATAGTACTCTCATAGCTACCGAGACTTTTTTTATAGCTAGGAGCCTTACTTAACTGCATTTATGTTTTTCTTTGCTTTTTTTGCTTTCTTTTTGTCAAAGAGTCTGTCATTGTTAAGCATGTTTTATGAGAATCGAAGTAGGAAATTGGCTTCAGTAAAAGTAACAAATATTAACTTTTCTCTCCATGGTGGATATGGGTAGTGCAGTCTTTCAGTGCTTTCAGAATCAAAGTGTATTTGGGGACAGTTGAATGGTGTTTCTTCGTTCACATTTCAAAAAGACTGACCTCCTAGTCATTGCTTGATGTCTCAAACTGGTTGGATGGGATGATTTCAGGACGTCCAGTGGAACATTATGGAACTTCCCATCTACATTGTTATGGGAGCTACTGGTAAGGACACAATGTTGGATCTCTGCTGGAACCTCTGACACATGTCAATCAATTAATCAATGCTTCGTGCAGACGATAGGTGCAATATAGGCTTCGCTGTCGCTGTTCCAATATGTGCCCAATCAATCAATGAAAACTATGCAGACCATAGGTGCTTCACAGCATTTGTTTCTACCATCTTATAAATCCCAATAAATAAATTCAAACTTGCAGTTGTAATGAACACTTCATGTAGACAGCTCGGACATTATGAATTGTCTGCTTTACAAACAGCCAATCAATTCATCTAGACCGCGTACATAGTTGTCGTGCTAATAGTCATTCTCATAGCTGCATTACAAACTCCAAATAGGCAACTCAACAAATCAATCAAACACTTAATGCTCATGACAACATGATCTCTTAGGGCTCAATTACCGCAATAATCTGAAGAAAAAAAATGACATCATCAATAGACATTTTTGACGCGATAGCGTTAAGGAGCCAGCCTCAGTGGCGTGGTAGTAAAGTCGATGGCGTGGCACAAATCCTGATTGTTGGATAGGGTCATGACGTCACAGCCACGTGACCTCGCACGGGAATTTTAAACAATCCACAAAGGTCACGTGAAACGTGACGTCGCGCGTGGAGTGTAAGTGATTAAAAAACATGACTTGTAATGTGAATTAAAGGTCACCACATGTCTCAAATGATTTTGCTTTATAAAGCAATTGATTTGCCTTAAAGAAAAATTTTTAAAATTTTAGGCAGGATTCGAACTTACGATTTTCCGGTTGCGAGCCAGACACACTACTGACTACGTCACGCAAGGCACGCTTTCACGGCGAATAAGAAGGCAATGCAAACAGGGCCCCGTAACGCTAATGTGTTCCCCTCTTAAAGGCGAAGCTTAACCGTCCTCCAAGTTTTTGTCCATGCTCTTGCATAATATTTGTATTATGTATATCTTATATTGAAAGATAGTTTCCCAGTTCGATCTTCAGTGGGGTCTAATGTCCTCCTTACATGTCCAGTACGTTTTGTACCATTTTTCTAGATTTTTCTAGAGCAGGTTGCAAAAAGGAAATGACACATCAGCACTTTCTGCCCTTCACTGATAAGTTGAACTACAGTCATGGCTTTTTAATATGGACATCGTTAATATACAGCATGTAAACCAACGGCTTTAAGGCACTTCAGACGGCTCACAAAAATCGGTTTCTCAGCATGTCACGCTGAAATATGCAACAAAGGTGCATGCAGGTAGTGAAAGTTTACAGGGAAAAAATTCCACAATGCTATTTGATGGTTTTAATAAAAATAAGCTTACCGTAAAATACCGGGCAAGCGACCACTCAAACTTTTGAGATAATCGCAAAAAAATGGGGATGGGTGCTTTTCCGGTCATCAATTTTACATATAAATGTTTTGTGCATATTTTCTCAAATCTTACAAATTTGGTAATGGGCACTTAATGTGGAATAAGCGGATGCGCAGTATTTTACGGTAGACACATTTTTTAGGGATGAACTGGGTGAGTGCATGTATTTTTTTTTTGGTAGAATGGACACTTCACATTATGAATGATTTTGGGAGGGTATAGAGGTGTCCATAATAATAAGACATGACTGCAATGACATGAAAAAAAAAAAAAAAAAAAAAATTCTTGCTGTTTCAAAAAAAAAATTTTTCATATTTTCTCAAAAACTGCATTGACTCATTTCTGCTTTCTCGCAATGGTTCGAGTATTTTCAACAATGGTTCTTTTTGCTTTTATTTTGTTCTCAGGAGGCCTTTTGGGAGCCATTTTTAACTATGTCAACTTCAGGCTGACAGTCTTCAGGATCAGGCGAGTGATATGGGCTTTGCTTGCACCATAGGATATGACTGCTCAAGTTTAGATTGATTGTTTTTTTTTTTTGTCTTGTAAGGAACTCAATATGCTACCTGTAGTTTTACAGAATTTTAACACCAATATATTTTGATGACTCGGTTCGCAGGCGATAAAAATACTAAAGGAGGAAAATAAAAAGAAATCTGAATCTCGTATATCTATTTTTTTCTCTCCAAAAGCTAGGGTGCATAAACTGGAATGGATAGCTATTTGATGCTTCATGTATGTGAACAATTTTCCAACAATCAAAAACTTGTAGTTTTTTTTTTTTTTTTTAGATTCAGTGGAATTATTTTTTTATTGCTTTCCTCCATTCATGAAATCATGCAAGTTGTTTTGCAGCCTAAAATGAAAAGAGGAAACAAAATTGCCATAAGTCTGGAGAAAATAAAGATAAGCTCATTATAGATGTGGGACAAAATGTAGCCTACATAAGCAGTCGTTCATAGATCATTTAGTGACCACAGATGTCTTTATTTGACAAACACTTATTTCTTACAAAATTATTCATGTATTGTGACAAAAAATGTGCTGTTTGAAGTTGTTTGAATAATTTTGCAATTAATGCTTACCAAATTTTACTCCGTTATGGGGAGGATAAACATTTAGTTGCGGTAATCTTGCAACCAAAATACCCTTTAATTATTTTTATTTAGTCAAATCATATAGAAATTGAAGGCGCCTCTTCCAAGAGTTCCTTTATCCCTTCTGCCGCAGTCAGGAAATGCTATGAAATCTTGACAGAGGGCGTTTCCTCCAAACTGATCAGAGGCTGAAGTTTTTTCTATATTCTTTGCTCGTGAATGCAAAAGGCTGGTTAGCCCTAATTTTCTTGAAGGCATAAGAGCTACAAAAATTAATTAAATCAATGAATAGGACAAAAACGGGACGAGTCTTGGCTCGTCTTCATCCCGTTCGTTATTTTTTTGTCATTTATTTTTTTGTCATTATTCTTTGACTAAACCAATGCGCTTCCTTCCATTGAGCACAAGAGTAATGCCGCCTAGATATTGTGCTTAGGTTTTAAAATGTATATCTTATATTGAAAGATAGTTTCCCAGTTCGATCTTCAGTGGGATCTAATGTCCTCCTTACATGTCCAGTACGTTTTGTACCATTTTTCTAGATTCAGGTAAACGATCGATGAATTGACTGTTTGCTACGACAGGTACCTCTACCGTCGCTGGACAAAGGTGGTGGAAGCAGTGATGGTTGCCGTGGTGACAGCCTCGGTGGCCTTCCTGATGATTGACGTGTCCACGGACTGCAGGCCGCACATGGACGAATTTAAAGACGACTCTCTTCAGGTTGGTGGGACAGATTGTGAACACTTCCACATTGGTCTCAAAGACGGTGAAGAAGCATGGGGAAAAAAGACGGGGCACAAGCGAATCGATTGGCGATTTCATGAGCAGCAGGCTCCAACCGTTTGGCCTGGCTTCGATGTCATTCTTTTGCCTGTAAATTCGCTGTCGATTTAAACACCGCCAACGACCAGGAGTTCCTTCACAGAAAGTGCACCTTCGTTCAAGTGGTTCAATTGGAAAGGATAATATAACGCGAGCGATCGACCGATCGTGTCTGCTTGCATCAGCTCTGAATGAGTAGTCTCGTACGTACTGAACTTTGTTAAGAAACGTTAAACCGTTGCGAGCAGCAAGTTGCCAGCGATTATTGCGAGGGAGATCGGTGGCCGAGCGTCAGCAGCTCGGCGCATGTGAAGCAAAAGTTCATGCTGCAGAGGATCCTGGGTTCGATCTTTGTTCCTGCCCGTTTCGATCCGAACAAGCGCTGTACCGGCGTGTGGTTATGTATCACTACAGCGTGATGTACGTTCAAGACCCCACGCCGGCGATACTACTGCACTGGCTAAATTTTGCGTTTACGACCAAGACACCGGACGCCCTTCGAGGCCGACTTGACCTCCGACTAACTAAACGTGTACACAATTATAACAGGGATCGTTGCCGACCTTGCCGGGCCTCCGAAAGTGCCGGGAGCATGCACGCAACGAAGCGTCATCCCGTATCGAAAGTTGAAGTTGCCAGGACGCCGCCGACATAGCGCTCGCGGCAAGTGCAGTACCGGGTAGTGTCGTTTCCGAACGCGGCCGTTCACAGCCTCGATTCGTCTCAACTTCTTGCACTCCGCGAATGGTTTGGAGCGAGATCGGGTACCTGCGCCACCTCCGACGAGGTTTGGGTTTGGTGCGTCTACAGTGGCAGCAGAGCTATTTTGTGCGGGTGTGCAGAGTTTGGGGGTGTGCTATTCTAAAACTCTCTGCAGTGGAATCTCGTTAATTGAAACACGCGGATAATTCAAACTAATGTGCAGGTCCCATCATACGAGTTTCTAGGGAGGAAACTCCCAATAATTCAAACTTTGCATTCAAACAAAGTTTTGGTCCCCCCTGGGTTCAAATTAACGAGATTCCATCGTTATATCCTGGATTAAAAAATTGGAGTGCCCACCTGAGAGAAAGCTTGCCTCTCCGCTCCGTTGCAGTTCAACTGTTCAGATGGGCGGTACAGCGCACTCGGCCAGATCTGGTTCCAGACGCCGGAAGCGAGCGTGCGCAGCCTCTTCCACCAGCCAGAGGGCAAGTGCCTAAGGGGTTTCAAGAACGCCCTTTGTTGTTTTGTGTGTCTAGGCACTGCCAAGTTAGTTTTGAGCTGCACGGTCGTGTATCTGCCTAGAGGAACGGGTAAAGTGATTGTGGAAGCAAGTATAGTGGCACGAAGGATCATGATGCCGCAGATTCCATTCTCGCGTGACTTGCCTTCGTTTGTTTCAGGTTTTTTTTTTTTTTTTTTTTTTTTTTTTTTTTTTTTTTTTTTTTTACATTGACATACCTTAAAATATTGAGCCTCGCAAAAGTTTGAGATACCGACGAAAGAATGGGGATGGTCGCTCATTAGGTCCAAGAGCAGGAATTGGGGCTCGTGGTGAGATAGTCCCACCCTCGTTTGATGGGTGGTGTCAGGGTCTGGCAAAACTGCCAGTGTTTAAGGCAGCCGTGACGTCCTCGACGGGCCTGCTTTGCGCCAGCAGCTCCTGCTTCGAGCGTTACCGCTCTGCACCGACACACATGCGTAAACCTCGTTGCTTCACACCGATTTTTCGGAGAAATAGTTAGGCACAGAAGAGCACCTCTGTTGGCTCAGTGGGCTCAAAAGTTAGATGGGCTGGGCACTTGATATGTCGTTTGCCTGTTTTAAATGTTTCGAAAGCAGGGGGTAGGACGTTTTCTGCGAACTGGATGCATGTTCGGTATTTTACGGTAATGTTGGTGGTCTGGCGTTCGTACGAATTAAATTTTAAATTTTGTACTATTCGTTTTTTTACGAGGCGAGCCTCACACTAAGTATTTCTCCGATATTTCAGCTTGTTTTTTTGTCATCGTAAAGGAACCAAAGAAACGAAAGTGGAAGCAACCCAGAGCAGCCGGACCCTGAGTCGGCAATTTTTGCGCAGAAAAATGTTCCGATTTTGAAATGCAGGTGTATTCGGTCTCGACAGTTCTGCCCTTATAGATTGTTTCCCCGGAACCCGGGGAATCTCACACCTATGTCTTATTTTCCGAAACATAAGCCCCGAAAGACCCCGATCTTTAAAAGTTTGTGGCATTTTCGGTGATTTTCTGCCCAGGGCATAAAGCCTCGGTGGCGTCACACTGTCACGTGACATCATGTGACATCACAGAGTCACGTGACACTAACGGCTTCATATATTCACAAAATCCTCGCAACGTGCCCTTGAGAAGACCCCTTACTGCGCGTGCAAAGGGACGGGTGCAAAGAGGCCCCTGCCCCATAAGTGCCACTCATTTAGAGTGTCTTAGGCAAACGCCAAAGAAATAGCCAGCATTTTTGTTTGACACCCAAAAAAGTCGAATCTAGTAGAAGAAGAGGCAAACCCTCACAAAAACATCCCCAAATTCAAAGAAAAAATCTAAGTGAAATGAACCCCGAAAACGTGGAACCCTCACTGACGAGTGATGTCACGGCCCTGCAGGGACGTGGAGCGCCGCCACGCTGGGGGGCTTCTTCGTGGTGTACTTCTTCCTCAGCTGCTGGACGTACGGGCTGAGCGTGTCCAGCGGAGTCTTCATCCCCACCCTGCTCGTGGGGGCCGTCTGGGGCCGCTTGCTCGGCATTGGCGTGCGCGCCATTTTCCCCACAGCCGTGAGTGCCCAACAGATCGCCTCGAGCGCTCCTCTTTAATGCTGGATGAGAAACGCGGCACTTTAAAGGGGTACTCTGGCATTTTGTTTGTAGTCCCCGATTTGCCCCAAAATTTGCTAATCACACCAACAAACATCGCAGAAATAGTAACCGAAATATGGCCAAAATAATTTTTTTTTTACAAAAAATACCAAATTACAAGTTTGGTTTTCACCGTGTTTTTCAAAGTGAAAGTTTCTGCTGGCAATGATGAAAAAGTGACGTTAGCAGAAGGCAGGGGTTCACTCCCTTGGGTTGTAGACTTTGTTCCCATCTGACTACAAGCAGTTTCATTCTGTCAAATGAATGCTTTGGAAGCTCGCTCAACACCTGTGCTCTTGCACGAAACAAATGCTCCGCAAAATCCATTTTTAGACTGCCCGCTCGACCTGCAAGCCTGCCTTCCTCTGACATCATGCCACTGAAAAGTGTGGGTATATTTGAATGTTGGTTTTGGCATCATGTTCAGTTGGCACAATAACCTTTCTGAATTTTGCTATACTGAATAGCATTGTGGAAAAATGAAAGGCCGGTGATTCCGAAAATAAAGTTTGTTGGGGTAGCTAAAAAAATCGCTGGAGTGCTACTTTAACAACTAGTTCAGACACTTGTGACCGCTTACGACCCCGTGCCTTAAAACCTCTGAGGATCTCTTACGACGAGAGAACGAACTGTCTCCATCTGTTGGGTTTTCGTGGGACTTATGGCGTTTCCGTATATTTCCTTTTTTTTTCTCATCATTCTTTCTTGGCTCGAAAAAAACTGTTTGACAATGCTTCAAACAACCATTTTTTGAGGACGCTACGTACCATATTTACACGAATGTAGGTCAACCCATTTCTAAATTTTTGAAAATCTGTACTGGGGGGGGAGGTCAACTTTTAATCGAACTAAAGCATTCCACTGCCAACAAAAAACAAAACAATCACGTTATCAAGAACACCTCGGCTTGTTATGAGTTCAGCCGGCTGTACCTATAGCATTGCGCTATTCTGTGTGCTCATATTAAATTTTTTTTTTCACAAACGAGTACCGTATTTACTCGCAGAATTAACGCACCTTTTTTTTCTGAAAAATCGATGCAAAGTTGGGGGGGGGGGGGGGGGGGGCGTTCATTACGCGAAGTAAAATTTTTGCGTCCCTATTTACTCGCATAATGAACGGACTTTTTATCCTGAAAAACCGAAGTAACTACTTATCTCTGCGCGCGGTGCCCGACCCTGTAACCAACTAAACTGTGCAAAAAAAAAAAACTTTTTTTTTTTTAATTTTTTTTTTTTGCCGCCTTTTGCAAGCTGTTTTGTTTGCTTAGGCAAGGGCTCTCCGCTTATCTTTCTTATCTCCTTGCGCGCGACGCACGACCCCAGTAACCAAACTGTGCTGTGCAAAAAAAAAAAAAAGAAAAAAAAAAAGCTCCTCTTTGTTTTGTTTTCTCTTAGTTTAGTAGTTTTTTTTTTCTTTTTGCCCCCTTTCGCAAGCTGTTTCGTTCGCTTAGAGCGCTTCTCCGCTTCTCTTTCTTACCTTTTTGCGCGCGGCGGTGCGCGAACCCAAAGTCCAAACTGCGCTGTGCAAAAAAAAAAAGAAAAAGCTTTTTTTATGTTTTTTTTTCTTGTGTGGGTTGGATCTTTGGGAATTTTTTTAACGCCTTTTGCAAGGCGTTTTGTTCGCCCACGCTGCCCATGCATTCGCGACCTCTCTGCACCAGGATAAAAAAGTGCCTTCATTTCGCGCGCGTGGGGGGAGTGGGTCAACATTTTGACGCCCAAGTTGGGGGTGCGTTTATTACACGAGTGAAAAAAAAAGTCGAAATTTTGAGAGCCGACTTGGGGGGTGCGTTCATTACGCGAGTGCGTTCATTTTGTGCGAGTAAATACAATATTATTGATGGCGATTTGCAAATTAACTTGAATGTACGGCCTTCGGGGGGTGCCGGCACTCCTTGTAAGAGCCACTCTGGAGGCAGCATTGCCGGAGGCCGCTGGAACAGCCTCACGGCTCACTCCCCACACCCTCTTTTCACAGTTTTCCGCATAATTCACGGTCGCATGTCGTTTGATCGAGTTTTGAGATCGTGCTGGAGCGCTAACTACATTTTTTACATTGACACGCATGATCCGGGCAGTTTAGGTTTTCGGTGCTCGTTTATGGACATTCTTCACCCAGAAGTAACCAAAAACTTTGCTGTTGGACGCAAGTTCGACCCGTTGGAGCAGGTGATGCTCCAGTGGAGCCTGCAAAGGCGCAAGATCTTAAGCTCTGATGACAAACGAAGAGGCTTGCGTGAGCCAAAGTCTGGATAGGTGGTTGTGCTTTCCGGAGTTGGAGGTCAGGCTTGCAACGTACGCCCCAAAAGTGTGCAATCAGTCCCTACCCGTGACGTGCAACGTGATCGCCGAGCAAGCGTGGAAGATGCGGTTGATGCTCTCGTTTGTGAAGTGGGAAATTGTGTTGGACGACGCCGACGACGTGCTTCCAGAACGTAGCAGTGATGACGACGGGACTGACATCACCAGTGCAGACGAGTCGTAATCTAGTTTCGGACGGAGTGAGAACGACAAGCAGTAGTTTCAGTTGTCCTGCCTCCAGTGTGAACTTCCTAGTTTCAATAACGCCTGGGCATCTCGTGCACGTCGCACATGCATGCGCAGCCAAGGCACGCCAGAAGGCATTGATCACGTGTTGGAAGCTGGGCTTTCAAAACAGATACTTTGCCGTTCTCACATGTTCGCAGTAAAATATGCGTCTAAAGATTTTTTTTTTTTTTTTTCGGATGTGCAATGTGTGTGTGTCGCCTTATAATCGAGTTGACTTACAATTGTGTAAATACGGTATGGTATGTATGGTCTTGCAAATACAGCGAAACCTTCTCTCTAGTGAAATGCAGTACCAGAATCGCCTCGTAGATGGTGCGGTATGTGAAGTGCCACGAGCCGACCACGTGCACGTTTTGTGTTCAAACGGTGACCGCCGCCCCATGTCCTTGCCCGTGGCAGACGTGGGTGAACCCGGGCAAGTTTGCGCTGCTGGGTGCGGCAGCCACGCTGGGAGGGGTGGTGAGGATGACCCTGAGCTTGAGCGTCATCCTGATCGAGGCCACCCGCAACATCACTTTCGCCCTGCCGATCATGATCGCCCTCACCGTGGCCAAGTGGGTCGGCGACTTCTTCTCCGAGGTGGGCACCGTCCCGATGAAGGCGCTCGATTTCCGGTGCCCCTAAAATGACCAATTGGTTTCACCCGCTACCCCCAAACGGGAAGTGAATGAGCAACTTGAAAATCGAAACACATGTACCCTATTTCCGGGACTGTAGTCCCCGAGCACGGTCCGGATGGACCGTACTCCGGAAGTGAAAATTTGGAGTCGAAACTAAGTTTTTGGTTAGGTAGTCCGCATCGATGCCTAGTTCGCATTTAGTGCCCGATCCGAGCATAAAAATTATTGTACGCAGCACACCTTGACAAATGCCTGCTCCACTAGCTCACAAAGAAGCTTGTATCATAAATAAGTTAACATTGGGGAGTTCTAGAATAACATACACAATTTTAGTACTTGCGTTAGCGCTAAATTTAGTCCTTGCGTTAGCACATGCCACACAAGAAAGCTTTAGAATTGTGTTTTTCCGCTGCGATGCAAAAACCCGAGCATCTCGCGCTTGCAATTCCACCAGCATACAGTAACGATTTTTATTTCATGGACCAAATGCTGTAACTCGAGAAAGAACCAGTGTTTTGACCCGAAGTAACATTTTGGATTTGTTTAAATGTAAGAATTGGAATCTACCAGTCGTGTCCGCTTGCATTTCTTTGGTTGGCAAGAGAGGTGTCGTGCGCTGAGCTACGCATACTGTACCTTCGCCGAAAAAACGTTTGCGGGTGGTAAGCAGCAAGTTGCCGGCATTCGTTGCTCACATTGCTGGGTCTTCCAAACCGTTTGTGACAGGCACCTCTCGTAGAAGTGCAATGTCATCTTGTGTTGGAAATCATGGTCACGAGGATGCCGTCGACGTCGCGTTCGCGACAGCCGCTGAAGTGGCCATGGTCCTGGAAGCCGCCGTTTTCTAAATTTGCTGGTCTTGGCTGCAGCCAACTCCTCGCATGTCTAGAATCCTTCTTGAAGGAGCGCAAAGGCTCTTTGCATACGCGCGCTGCTTCCAAAAAATAGCGCGCGCAAGACGCGGTTAGTGTTTGGCATGTGCAGTGGCGATGCCGCCATTCCTTGGGTATGTAAAGTCTTTGCATATGCTATTCTAAAACTCCCTGTTAATATACTCTTTTTTCATAAAATTCTTCACTTCTTATAACAGTGAACAATCTAGAAAAAAAAACAAAAAAACCTGTAGTCTGAATCGGGTAAAATTTCAACTTTTATAGTCTGCGGACTATAGTTTGGAGAATAAGGTATACGTAAATAATTTGCCTAACCATAATTGATAACGATTGAGTGCTGGTCAATAGTCCATCCAAGTGATTGCGGTATATAACGAAATAATTGCGCAAAAATGTAGAGGTTATATTGTATTTGTGAGTCCCGCAACGAGGTCTTTTTCCTGCCAATTGCGATCGGCCTTGACGTCGCCAAGTCGGTTGGCAACTTCTTCTCGCAGGTGAGTGCAGTCCCAACCGTAGCGAGGATGACGTTCGATTTACAGTGCCTCCAAAATGGCCGATCAGTCTCATCTTTTGCATCTGAATAGAAAGTGCTGGAGTGGAAAGAGGAGTGCTCTTTGCTGCACAGTTAGTGCAAACACTACGTCGGCACTTTTTGACTTTTTGCTCAAGCGGGGCTATGATTAACACCAATAGTGATTGCCTAGGCATGTGCCCAAAGTTAACAGATTCTTTTGCACTGGTAGTTTTATTGACAGCCTGCCAGGTGCAAGAGAAAGCAGGAAAAAGAAAAAGGCGATCGCTTGTTCCTGGTAACACTGCTACACTGCTCTCTCCCTGCTTTCGTTTACAGGTCTATACACAGAAGGAATGTGCCTGATTACAATTAGCGGCTTTTACTTGCTGGTTGTAAGTGAACTCGGCTGAAAAGTAGAAAGGGTCTCTGTGGCATCATTTACAGCCTTGCATAAAAAAATTAAAAGAAGACGGTCGCACTGTGAAATTTGTTCAACGTGAACATTTGCAGGGACGTGCGCCCAAACTCGCTTTGAGTGTCAAGACTTACGGGAATGTCTTAAGTTGTAGACATGTCCGACATTGTTGTGGAGGTCTTACGGAGCGGTTATCCTGAAGGAAGGTTTAAACTAACATTTTTCTTACCTAGAAAGGCACATTGAAATGTCCCAAAAGGTTACCCCACCTCCTATCCAACCATCCTTGATGGGCAAGTAGAAGCAATTGAATAGCAGACTTCATATATTTATAACACAACTAATCAACTATTTGCCCTTGCACCTACAGCATAAGTGTCGACTAATCTTTTGTTGCTTTTCATAAAAATACTTTGTAGGTGTATTATCTTGTATGACAGATAGTTAGATGTTTTATATTACAAACTTTCGATGTTAACTTTCTATGGTCTGCTTTTATGCAATTACGTCCTGCAACTCCTCACCCCTTTGCAAGGCTTACATGGGCTCAATAGATGACGATGATGATGATCATCTATTAGCTGAAGTTGAGGCTCTGCTATATTTGCATTGGCCTATCTTTTCCCATAAAAACCATTTGTAATACAGTCGAACCTCGATATAACGAACTTCAATGTAACGAAATCCTCGATTTAACGAAGTATTTTATTTTTCATAATTTCTTGCCCATAGACCCCATGTATTTTTAGTCTCTATATAACGAAGTCTATTTTGCTGCTATTTCAATATAACGAAGCGCCATTGCCATAGAAGGCAATAAATAAATCAACTCTAAAAAACAACTTCGCAAAAAAATTGTGGCTAAAAAAAAAAAAAAATTATGCGCAAACGCGATCGCTTGATAGGTTACTTCACGGGGACAGGCCTTCCAACGTTCCTAGGCTGCCCGAGGACGCGGCGCAGGTAGCGCCGGCGAGGCATGCGGCAAAGCGGATTCCGCGAGGCTGGCCAGAAAATGCCGAGCAAAAAGTTAACACGGCATAACAGCATCACCACTGACATTCACTGATCATCATACTCCACTGTATCGCGGGTAGCGCGGGAGCCAACTTCAGCGGGGGAGCGACGTGATGGCGCGACCGCGCGACCGCACGGGCAGTGCCATCTAGGAGAAGACCGAGAAGACCGATTATCGTCTTGCGAGCGTGATGTAAAGCAAAGGCGCAAGCACACTGTGGGCGCAAGGGGGCAAGTAAACTGTGCGGTCAAGAGTGCTGTGTAGGTTGGAAACATTAGCACCGCCTAAACTAAACAGCTTTATTTTTTAACCGGGCGGTTCACTCACGTGCTTGCTGCCATAAGTAAACGTAAAGTTATTTCTTTGGATGAGAAAGCAAATGTTTTGGACGCCATCCTGAAGAAACTGCCGAGATCACGAGCACTCGGGAAGTGCTCGACGCAATGGACGTACTGAGGAGGTACACGGCGTCGCATGGGCAGCAAGATGCCGTGCAAGCGCTCTGGGCGCTCGAACGCCGTATTGGCCGTATGACGCCACTGCTACTGTCAGACAAGGCGCAAGCAAAACTAGCGGACTACTTTGCCCCTAAATAAATGTCATTTTCGGTGAGTTTTCATACCCGTAAAATGTTTCGGAATTTTTTTTTCGCATGTTAAAGCCAAATTTCGATTTAGCGAAATTTCAATGTAACGAAGTAAATTGCGAATTTTACCGACTTCGTTCCATCGAGGTTTAACTGTATGATTTCTGTTCCATTTCTGTTTGCGAGATGAGTGTAATATAAAGAAACCACATTTTCCGGTGTGCACCGGAAAATGTACAAGACGCACTGACTTGCATCAGTGTGTCTCGTGCATAGTTGTGTCTTGTACGAATTTTTTTTATAATGTCAGAAGGAGCTGTGGTTTAATGTAACTATTGGGGTTATATATTTTGTTTGATTTGTTGACGAAAATATTAAAACAGGCTGCTCCCAGTTGTACTTATATCGCAATCACGATGCACATTCTTGAGCTTATCAATGCAGTTTCACTGCACCGATTGTACAGCGAAGTGTGACTTGTACGAAAACGAGACTTATGTGACAACTTTTTCAAGAAAATGGATGTTTATGGGGAACATAAATTATACAGAATGGCTTTTTTTTAGACTTCACAGATTTGTTTAAAATAAGCCGTAAAAGTTATACTAATCCAGTCTGTGCAGGTGGATTGTACGGCCGGGGTGACATAATATAGGGGGCTAGTCATCACAATAAGTAGAAACTTTTGCTAAAATTTGTTAATTAACTCTTTAATTAGTGAAAATAAACGTGGTTTTAGTTAGAAACTTGCTGAGCATCATCAAGAACAAATAAACCAGTAAATTTCAGAAAGCGCACCATTGCGCCTCTCGCGAGCTGCACATCTTTCTAAATTTACTGTCGCCGACTGATTTTTCGAACGGCGATCATTCGGACTTGTTCGATATTTCGGATTTAAAGGAGGAACTGTGACCCACCTGATAGAAATAGTTCATATTCACAACCGATGTTTCAGGCAGCTTGAGGTCGGAAAGTTCAGTTTTTAGGACAAAATCGTTGCGAGCGATCATTCTATGTTGGTTACACATGGATTGGCTTTGTTTGGCAGCTCTACCTGAGCACCGCTAAGTCCTGCTGCTAGGTGGCCCTATGCTACGGCTTTTTTTTCTCTAGCTGCGCATCATTATCGTCATCGTTTTATCATTTTGCTTTGTTCATTCTCCATTCTGCAGTCGTGGACTTGCGCCTCTCATCTCGTCTCAGTGAATCGTGTTTTCGGACTACGCTGGCTTGGACTTCGGGGCCCTATCTGTTCTTCCGCCGCCGCAAAGTGTCGCCAAGAAGCGTGGAAAGTGGTTGACCATAACGCTAGAAGTGAAGGCAGCGATTCTCTAGCTGATAGAAAGTGGCTGAACGCAAGCGGAGGTGTAACCTGAAGCAAGGCACCGTTGAAGGCTTTTTTAAGCCTGCTTAGACGTATTAAAGGCAAGTTTTTTAATGTGCTGATTTTTTAGAACGCAGCTCTTAGGCGCCCGTTTCCGGCTTGAGCGGCGTCACTGTCGCATAATGCGATGCGCGGCGTCAATGTCCCATAATGCACTGGCAGGGGGAGGAGGAGGAGGAAGGAGGAGGGGGAAGAGGGGAGTAGGAGGGATGATGAGGAGGAGGGAGTAGGAGGGGAGGAGCTTGAAGGATGAGGGGTAAAGGTGGAGGTGAAGGAGCAGGAATAGGAGGGGAGGAGGATGAAGAGGAGGCAGGAGGGGAGGAGTAGCAGGGAGGATGAGGAGGTGAGGAAGAGGGAGGAGGGGTATACCCTCCCCTGAGTACCCTTCCCTCCTCCTCCTCAAGAGCGGCACTCTAATTCGGCCTTACAGGGTGTTGTAAACGCGTTTAATTTTTAACTGCCCTATTATTTGGATATTCTTTTGGTCCTTGCGAAGTCCGAAAAATCTTTCAACGACTGTACTGATTTAGTGGTTTTCACTGACACTAAGCAAATTTGTAATTGGAACTATTTTTTTAATAATTAAAAAGTTGGCAGGTTTCAGTTAATGGTCCAACTTTTTGTGACAGTTAGCCCCATATATTATGTGCCCCTGGCCACCACTGCACAGAGCGGATTAGTGCAGATTTTACAATAAAAACAATCTCTAAAGCCTAAAAAAGAAACACCCTGTACAACATTGTGACTTACCTGCGGTCTGGAAGATAGGGTGAAACCTCACGCATACCACGGGGTACAGTTCACAATCTGCACGTGGCTCACAGTGAGCATCCTCTTGTCGCTGCAGGGTCTGTACGACATCCATCTGCAGCTGGCGGGAGTCCCCTTCCTGGGCTGGGAGGCGCCCTCCAAGTCAAGCCACATCTCCGCCAGGTGAGGGAGGGACGCCATCCTTCCTCTACCCTTCCTTTGGCGCCGTTTCTCGAACCGCAGAGTTCAAAGTTCAGACGAACCCACTATGGTGTAGTTCCGCAAAACACCATCTCCCTTCCGGTAGGCCACACTGCACCATGTTGACAAAGGGTGTCTGCCACTTTTGCTCGTTTGTTTACGCAAAGACGCTTTGTTATTGGCGTTGTTTTCGGCGTTGGCGAAACGCCGAAACGTGGTGAGGGGCCTTGTCGCCGACGGGACTCAATACGATCGTGGACGTATTTTGATTGCACGAATCACAGTTTATTTCGATTTGTTTCTCTTCGGTGTCGGCATCTGAGGGAGCCTTTAAGTACGCCAACGAGTCGCCTTCTCGATCACAGTCTTCTGTTAAGTCCAAATACAGACCGGTATGTATAGAAATAGGGTGCCAGTCAATCCTTTCTCATGTTCCCAGCTGCTTCAAAACATGCAGTCAATCATGCTTGAAAAAAAAAAAGAAACAACCTTGATTGAGCTCGAAAACATGGCCTCCATCTAAAGAAAGGCATACAGTGAAAGTTCATCAACATATCTTCTGTCGAGATTTTGATCCAGAAGTACCTACCGTGTTTACTCGCAGAATGAACGCACTTTTTTTCCCGCAAAATCGATGCAAAGTTAGGGGGGGCGTTCATTACGCGAGTAAAATTTTTGTGTCGGTTATTTACTGGCATAATGAACCTTTTATTATCCTGAAAAATCGAAGTAACTTCTTATCTCTCTGCGCGCGGCGCCCGACTCCGTAACCAAACTAAGCTGTGCAAAAAAAAAAAGAAATCCTCTGTTTTCTTTTTTCTTAATTCCTTGTTTTGTTTTTTTTTGCCGCTTTTCGCAAGCTGTTTTGTTTGCTTAGGCGTTGCTTAGGCGAGGGCTCTCCCCTTATCTTTCTTATCTCCTTGCGCGCGGCGCACAATCCCCGTAACCAAACTGCAGTGTGCAAAAAAAAAAAAGAAGAAAAAAGCTTTTTTTTTTTGTTCTTTTTCTCAGTTTTTTTTTTTTTTTTACCGCCTTTCGCAAGCCGTTTTGTTTGCTTAGAGGGCTTCTCCGCTCCTCTTTGTTACCTCCTTGCGCGCGACCCCCCGTAACCAAACTGCGCTGTGCAAAAAAAAAAAAAAAAAGAAGAAAAAAAAAAAAAAGCTCATCTTTGTTTTTGTTTTTTCTTAGTTCCTTGGGTTCCTTTTCTTTCTTTTTGCCGCCTTATGCAAGCTGTTTCGTTCGCTTAGAGCGCTTCTCTTTCTTACCTCCTTGCGCGCGGCAGCGCGCGAACCCAAAGTCCAGACAGCGCTGTACAAAAAAAAAGCTCCTCTCGCATGTTTTTTTTTCTTGCTTCCGTTGGATCTTTGCGAATTTTTTAACGCCTTTTTCAAGGCGTTTTGTTCGACCACGCTGGCCATGCATTCGCGACCTCGCTGCACCAGGATAAAAAAGGGCGTTCATTTCGCGCGCGTGGGAGGAGGGGGTCAAAATTTTGACGTCCGAGTTGGGGGTGCGTTTATTACGCGAGTGAAAAAAAAAATTCAAAATTTTGAGAGCCGACTTGGGGGGTGCGTTCATTACGCGAGTGCGTTCATTGTGCGAGTAAATACGGTATGTCACATGAAACCACCCTAGAGGTTTCGTGTGAATTTAATCGGAATATGACCTCTGTTGAAGAAAGGCAATTCCATCGCGCTTCGAAGTGGTCTGTAGCTAGACACCTCAAAAACACTGCCCCCATTTTTTTCTTTTTACTCCTGCCTTTTTTTTTTCTTTTTTTTTAAAGAATGCTTTAAACAGCAAAGAAAAACATTTTTGAGCTTTAGATTTTGTGCAAGATCCTACCTTATAGGTTGTGCAAAAGTTTGTGTTATTCTCTATTTCCTTGCATATGCCAGGTGTTCCAGTAAAGACTCGAAAATTCCTACTAATATGGTAGTTGAGAAAAAAATACTTCGGGAACAAACCACCAGCCACGGTGGACATCGGAGATTGCGGAAAACTTACTAATTAGCTAAAAAAAATTAACCGAAGTTTACTATTTAACTTTTGAATGAGTGAAAGGAGACATGGTTCTAATCAAAAACCTGCCGAGCGCCCTCTAAAACCCCTAAATCAGTCAATTTTAGGAATTGACTGATTTAGGAACCATCTATTTTCTTCTTGGTAATTATATAACCAATTAGTATGTCTTTTGACATCCCTAAAGTCTGCTGTGACTAGCAGTTTGTTCCCAAAAAGTTTTTTTTTTTTTTTTTTCAACCATCGAATAGGTAGAAATTAACGGAAGTCTTTGCTGAAACACCCAGTACACTTTGCACCTGTTTACGAGTGTTTACTGTCTCGGCTGCTCTGTGATAAGGTTATCATTTATCAGTATGCTTGAAATGCTTTCATGTTTCTCTTTTGTGAAATGCAACAGAATTTTTATCCCTGAAGGATGTTCGTTGCAGCTCATTAGCTAAATTTAGCGGAAAACCTGATTGCTGTATTGGCTGTCACCATATTTTTCTGTCTATAAGTTGCACCATCGTATAAGTTGCACTTGTACGGTTGGCACTGCAAATCTGCATCGATAAGCTTACATATGTTAATTGCAAATGCAATATATATGGAAGCGGGAGCCAATTTCAATATTCCTGCCAATTATTAAAGCTAGAAATGTAATCCCCATGGCAGATTCGTGCAGTCGAAGTTTCTATTTATAAAAAGATTGCAAATAAGTCACGTCGTCGCATAAAACACGCCGACAAAATAATGGAAAAAAAAATTCTCAATTTATACGTTGGTCAGTACGGTATATGCAGAATTGGCACAAACACGGCTCCCCGCTGATGTGCACAGAGAGAGCTCAACAAACATCCGAAGAGCTGCAAAGGATCCTAAATACTGTCGCACCGCATCTCTTTTGGCAACAGCCAGAGAGAAGGTGTCATATTTTTGTCTTTGTATCGATTCACATTGTTCGTTCAGTCATGCCACTTGCATTCTCCATGCAGGGAGGTGATGGGTTACCCCGTGATCACCTTCCGGATGGTGGAGAACGTCGGGAACATCATAGACGTGCTGGCCTCTTGCCCCCACAATGGCTTCCCGGTCGTGGACACTCCGGAAGTGAGTTTGCGCCGTCCCCATGATCGCTCGTGCCATTCGTGAGCAGGACTCCGTGTTTTCAGGGTTTATATTTTTTTTCAAATTCGAGGGCTGTTCCTGGGGATTCGCACGGATTTTGAGTTTTTTTTCGGGGGATTGTTTTCAGTGTCGAACGAAGCGGTGGCATTTGGGGGAACTTGTGTCAAAAGAAACGTGATACGGGCTTGCAGTTCGCTAACCTCTGGGGTGCACGTGCGTGACTGGAAACACTTGGAAGATGTCCCAGTACCGATACTGCCACGTGCATGGTTGAGAAAGAGCTTTTACTCGGTACTTTAGAAGATTCAAGTTTACTCTTACCCCAAGTAATCGACGCTCGAACGTTCTGAATCGAAGATTCGGTAAACCAAGCGTAGTAGATAAGGAGCCCAACGTGGCCTTGCCGATGCTCGCTGCTGCTTTCTCGATGCTCATTCTTTCTTTTGTTTCTGGCAGAAGTTTGCCGCTTAAACCTTTATTTTCAGTTTAATGCTTAGCTATCTTTTTTCATCCCTGAAACTACGAGAAAGGAGCAAGATAAGGGGAGTGGTTCGCAAAAAAAGAAGGAAGCCTCGCGGGTAATGAAATGGAGGTTGTGTTCCGGGTCAACAAAAAATAAAGCTTTAGATAAACGTTTCGTCACGTGAGGCTTGGTTTTTTTTCTTTTTGAGTGTGGCTCTATTAGGGGTTTTTCGGTTTTTTCCCACTTCAATAAAACCAGCTCGAGGGTTACTTTTCGGGGTTTGTCGATATACACACAAAAACGCGGGACCCTACGCACAAGCTATGATTGATTTTCAGCCGACGCAGCTTGCACGCTAATCTTGGCTTTTAAAGGCAGCCTACTTTGCTCACCGTTCTGTTGATGTGGTTGTATATTAGAAAATTCTGCCCCACTAAAGTCTCTTTTTTTGCAACAATGTGACGTGTTGGGCTAGTTGGTTTGAGGTGAACATCTTGGGAGGAAACAGCGGCAAAGAAACTTGGACAAGAGTAAAGGAACAACCATGACAGGACAGCGCTTTTTTTTTTATTTACTGGCTTTTTACGTGCTCTTAGAAGGGGCCCCACTATGTAGACTATTTATTTTTTGACGAGTTTCTTGTATAGGCCATAAAGAGACTGCCTTGAAGCAAAAGTGAAGCTGTTCTTTTCCAGAAAGCACGAACCCTTTCTGAGCTTTCGTCGGCTAAAGTGCCGCTTTCGATTGCGCAGGAGCAGTCTAGCGAGGAGCACTGCTTTGGCCGCTACAGAGGCATCATCTTGCGATGGCAGCTCATCGTGTTGCTGCAGTACAAGGTGGGTCCCCTCAGTCCACCTTCACCCCTGCCGCAACGGTCAAGGGGACGGCCTCCAAGATGGCCGCAGCGCCCATGCTCGTTTTCACCTCATGAACCATAGTAAAAAAAAAGTCCAGCGTCGGCAGAGCATTACTAATTTCCCCATTTATTGGAGAAGTAAGGTATATGTAGGTTCATTTTAGATTAGATATTTATTACCTTATCAAGACAGGCATGTTTCAAACGCCAAAAACATTGCTTCTTTCTCCAACAACCAAATCTTGTGAGAATAGCTTCGTGCAACGTAAAAACAGTGCAAAATTATTTTTTTTTTTTAGGTGACGACGGTTTGGTGGCGATGGAAATTAGTTCATTGAAAGACGTTTCGTTGACTTATCAACCAATTTTTTTGCGTCTCGCCTGGTTATCGGGGCGGGGCAAGGCGGGGCGGGGCGGGGCGGGGCGGGGCGGGGCGGGGCGGGGCGGGGCGGGGCGGGGCGGGGCGGGGCGGGGCGGGGCGGGGCGGGGCGGGGCCGGGGCGAAGCGGGGCCGGGCCGGGGCGGGGCGGGGAGTCAGGTGGCACCAAAGTTTTGGATAAAACACGCTTCAGTGAACCGTGTGCTAGCCTTTAGCGGCTTCCAGATCAGATTCCGCACTTACCATAGAATGCCGCGCATCCGCCCATTCACATTAAGCGCCCATCCCCACATTTGTAAGATCTGAGAGAATACGCACAGTACAGTACATTTCTATGTGAAATTGATGACCAGACAAGCACCCATCCCCCATTTTTTGTGATTATCACTGAAGTTTGAGTGGGCGCTTGCCCGGTATTTCACTGTAGTAAAGAAAAGTGAGCTGTTGATGAAACACCGCAGGACTCTGTGTCCATGAAACAAAACAGTGTCGACGAAGCAAGCGCTCACGAAAAGTTGTTCACGAAACGATTTAAACCCTTTATCGCCCAAATTGGCCTCCTGGCATGTCTCGACATGCCAGGAGGCGGCTTGTAGCGGATCAGTTGTGGCAATGTGCAGAAGGAGACCAGAAAGATCACCGGTGGACATAAAATCCTGTGTCATGTTACCTCTGCCTTTTTATCTATCTCCTTTCGTAAAACACTGTGATGAGCTCTGTGTGCTCTGAGAGAAAGGTCTGTGCAGTGCAGGCCTTTTTCCCTGCATTTTTGAGAGAAAAGCTCTTGCAGCGCAGGCTTTTCTCTTCTTATGCTCTGAAGGAAGGTTTGTGTAGTGCAGCCCTTTCTGTCCCTGTATCTTGAGAGAAAGGCCTGTACAGCGCAGCCCTTTCCTCCCCTACATTTTGAGGGAAGGGCTTTTTGCAGCGCACGCCTTTCTCCCTGTGCTCCGAGAGAAAGGCCCATGCAGTGCAGTGCTGTTCCCGTAAAGGTTAGGCTTCCTTACTGTGCCCTGATGAATGTCATTGTTGCAGTGGCATTCCTTGCTCACCATCTTTGCTTGCACCTGGTTCTGTGTGCAGATGTTCCACAGCAGTGCAGAGGGTAGCTGTGTCCGGAACTTGGGCATCAAGAAGTTCAGGGATGCCTACCCCCGCTACCCTACCATACAGGTGACGATGGGCCTAATGTTGAAAGGGTCCTCCGAAGTTCTCAAACTTTTCAATCTTGAGGAACCCCCATTTGCCAGGACCAAGTCCTAGTCTTGGCATAGATGCAGTAAAGCATTACAGAAGCCTATAGACCAGCATGCTGTTTACAAACAAGCTCTCGTTTGCCCACACCAGGTGTGGGCACTGCGCGTGCGCAGAAACCGAATTTGCGTGAACTGAAGTGTCTGCGCATGCGCAGTGCCGTCAACAGCGCCACCGCAGCTGTGTGACGTCAGGGCCGCGTGTTGGTCTATAGACCTTGCAAACACCAATGCACATACTAGTGTTAGCGCCCACTCCAAAAGAGGACTGTTAGACGTCAAGAAAACCATTGAAGAACACCACCCCTCGCAGCCTTGGACCAGTTGTCCCGTTGTGCACTATCCTCCCTCCAATTATATAATATAGTACAGTGTAGACCGCATATAACGTATGTCGCAGGAGTCGCGAAAATCCGCACTATAAGCGGTACCGCGCTATAACCAAAACATCAATTTTTCAGGCCAAAATGCATGCCATAAGACAACTTGCCTTTGTAAACAATTTATTTTATATTAGATGAAAAATAAAGCTTAGTTTGAGGAAAGTCTTTATTTCACCAGACTAGTTTCAAGTGTGTCACACATTTTGAAAGAAATGAGTGACTTTTGCCTGGCGCAGCCTTTTAACGGCATCGCGGGTTGCGGACGGACGTTGCAAGCGTTGAGGATTGCTAACCCTAATCACTTTTCTCCGGTGATGAAAACGCGCGAAAATTCGCATCCTTTATACGGTACGCGCCAGTAATACCTTCAACTTGAGCACAAGCGTGAAATGCTCCAAATAAGAAATTCGAGCAATGTTCTAAAACACAAATGCTTAGAAAGCACCACTCTAGTCGAAGTAAACAAACACGACGACACGGGCGTTTCTGCCGTCTTGAGAGTGCCGCCACGACATCGCAAAACGAGTAGGTGGATCTTCCCTTCCAGTACGTGCTGGGTTATCAGAGCGACACACAACGAAGATTCACAGTCAAGGATAGCGCTTTTACGCGGAACAATGAGCCTCCACCACGCCGTCTACGTCGACGAACACCACCGACACCATATTTGCGGATAGGAGAAGCGGGCACGCGACCGCCATGCAACGCGCGCGAACATGTCTCCTCAACTTGCGATTGGTCTGTCGTTGCGGTTGTTTCCAAAGCAGCGGAGGGACGCACGCATGTGGACGACACGTGCGTGTGTCCCTCCGTCGTGTTGTGCTTTACACACATTTTCCTCTCTCTCTTCGCTCCTCCCCGCTTCTTCGAGCAACCTCCGTGTCCCGCAAGTGCCGCTTGCGGCTAGCGCCGTTATCTAGTGTCGCACAGGGAAGCGTGCTCGCTGCGCCGGTCGGTCGGCGCGGTCGGCGGGCTGTTCCAGGAACCACACTATAACCGGTATTTCTCTTCGCACGCCTGCATTTTAAGCGGTATGTAATTACATGGAGTTCTATGGGAGGCGGACCGGTGGTTTAGAAAAGCCGCGTTATACCCAGTCCTGCACTATAAGCGGTTACGTTGTAAGTGGCCTATACTGTATTATAAATGGCTTTATACCTTCCTAACATCCCCTACCTAGCAATTTGCACATCTCACACAAACAAGTGGTCTGAATCGTCGTCGTGCATCAAATGGTGCCTTAGATCTGCTACAATGTCTGAATCCAGGTAATTTTTAGTTTATTCTAGTTCCTGCAGCACGCAGATCAAGTCATAGCAAAAAAAAGATGAACTTAGAAACCTCTTAAGTCCTCCAACCTGTCTCGCTTTTGAGTTTGTTATGGTGGGGAATATTTAATTGGGCATTTCAAGTACCCAGTGTGCTTGGAGGTGTTGTGCTTTGCACAGATTTTCCTCTCTCCATCTACTTTCAGCAAGTGCACGTGTCAGTTCACGAGCGCGAATACAGCATGGACTTGCGGCCTTACATGAACTCATCGGCCTACACCGTCTCTCATGTGAGTCACGTCTCGTCCTTCTCGGGAATATGCATACTTCTGCCCCTTCTGAAGCAAGTGCGACACAAAAGTGTGGATAATGACAAGATGATTCTTATTACTTGTGCTCAAAGATCTTCGTAATGCTTAGATGGCAAGACCAGCCCATAAAAGCACTCTCCTTTAGAAGCAAGAAAGAGGTAGTCCATCTGCATCAATCGCCTTTTAAAGGGATACTGAAGCGAAACTTGAAATACACCTATTATGGTCAGAAATAGGTTCAATATGATCAATGATATTCATAAATCATAATCGCGCGTTTGTATTTTGAACGGATGGCTATATTTTTCACCCTGTATGGGCCCGATTGGGCGCGCGCTCAAAAATCGGCCATCGGAGAGCGCGATGCGTCTTGGGATATTGGGCGCATTCGTGACGTCACTTGTGCCGGTCGGGAAAGGCTACGGCGTGAATGTTGTGGTTACGAGCGTTGCCACTTGGTGGCGCGTCGACGATTTACGACCTGTGACAACGTGGCCGTTTGAGATGTGCAAGGGCTGCACGCACGCTGCACCACGGGACCACGGCAAGTCGGCAACCACGGCAGCACTGACAAAACCAGCTCCGAGGCCGGATTCTCAAAGCGAATTCACGACGAAAAAAGTGCGTACGACAAATTTGAGAGAAAACCCGTGCTCTCGAAACGAAATTGTCGTAACCTTTGCGCAGGTTACGACAGAATCCTACGACAGCTCCGAAGCTGTCTTACGCACTCTTTACGATCAAATCAACAAGGCCGACAGCATCGCTCAGTTACTTGGTATCGGCCACCAACGGACATTTATTTTTCTTCGTGCTCTTCTCGTGCGTCCCGACTTCAACCAGCAAGAAAAAAAGGAAGGAGTACTTAAAACAGACCACGACGATCAAGAACGCAGGATCCACAAACACACGAGAAGAGCTACAACAGCCACGATTCTGCCGACCGAGCGAGCTCGGCAGAATATAGTAGGCCTAGCAGCAACATCGACTCGACGCACCGTTGCTCCGGCGGTCCTTGGCCAAGACCGTCTGTCCATGACCGGCTGGCCTGCTGAATGGAATATGCCCGCGCGACCCTTGTGGACCCCTACCGGATGAGTAGTTTGATCCCTGAACTAAATTTCAGAGGTCAATATTTTCCCCTTGTCATCTCGATCTCATTGTTTTCCGAGACAGCGGTGACGAACGCTGTCGTCGAAAAGGGACTCTCATTGATTCTATCTCCTTGTTTTGTGTGATATAGAGCTCAAATAAACGCCATATGGATTACCTTGGCAACTCGGTATGTACACTCTGTTATTAGTATGCCATTTTTATTCTGACTCGACGCTACGTCAGTGTCGAGCTATAGCAGTTCGTGGGAGCTACGCGATGTCGGTCTAACCTTTCTTTGCCGAGTGTCATGTCAGTATCGAGTTGCAATCGTAAAAGATCGGTCCAGAAGCGCTTACCGAAACGCGGTCTAACAGAGCGAATCCAGCACTTCGATCAAACGCGCGTGTCCGCTCCGAGTGTGAACAGGTATTTGGCATTTGCGTGGCTCTTGCTGACACCCTCGTAGTTCAAACATATCCTTTTTAACGTCGGCTTGCAGCTCGCGACTCGCAGCAACTAATACCGGCCGTGCCAGAAGCATGCTCGGGCCGTGTCGTGCAAAGAGCCGCAACGAGAACGAGCTCACTGTGGCCAACTAGGCTTTGGCTTTCTCCGCCAAGGCTTTGCAAACGCGTTCAGGCCTAGGCGAATTCTGCCGGCACGCCGTATTGCCGCAGAACGGCGCTGCTATTATGGCACAAGTGATGTCACGAGAACTTCCCCCCATCCACCAGATGAGAATTTGAAATCGTTTAATTATGTTTAAAATTAGTTCTCCTGTGTTTTACAGCGCAATATTTATATTTCCGAGGTGGTGCCTGTCCCTAGCCCATATTTATGCAACAAGATCGGCGCTAAAATTTCGTTTCACTACCCCTTTAAAGCAAACAAGCATCAGGACTACCTTTGAAGATGCCTTGGTGCCATTAAGCCCGATTCAATCAATCAACCATGTTTTGACAGAGAAGGGGATGGTGAGACCATGTTACCTGTGCTGTTTCTCAGATTATTCTGAAACATGGAGTATTGTGCTGGTAGTGGTCTATATGGTTATGCATTTATATTTCTGTTTCTGTCTGCTATTGCTACAAGATGTACTGTGGGCATGGAGCTTGTCAGGCCTTCTGGTGCATTTAAATTAATGATAGTAATAGTGATGATTGCATCCTATCTTATGGTTGCAGACTGCCTCTTTGCCGAGGATCTTCAAGCTGTTCCGAGCCTTGGGGCTGCGTCATCTCGTGGTTGTTAACAGCAGTAACATGGCAAGTAGAGGGTTTTGAAGACAGGGTCTTGAGTTTTGTCATCCACCTCAGAGCATCTTATGTGTTGTTTTACTTGGGTTACATGATGACCAAAGTATTGGGAATTTTAACATCAAAGTTTGGGTGCCGAAAAGTCTCCTGGCTATCTGATAGATGAAAAACAAAATTTGTTCCCTCCCTGTGTGGTTGTGTTTGGCAGAAGATATCCTAATTCAACTTGATAAGTGATATATTTTGTCATCTTGACAGTAAGGGTAATGTGTTCGGGTAAATAGGACATTAGAGTTGTCTATTGCGTATTCTTGCATTGCCAACTTGGTCTCATAGTCTGGGATATGGCCTGGGAGAGTTAACTTTCGAACCTTTCACCCAATTTGATTCAAATTTTGGGGGTTATTTAAGCACAATGAGGAAGGATACTCTGCAAAGTTTTAGCTTTACTTTACAGTATGCTACGGTTCTCGCTCTTCAGAAAAAGGACACTTCACTAAGAAGTCTATCGTAGAAAAATAATATTAGCTGGTGGCAAACTTCTTGCTTTAATGTGAAGAACGATACCCACAGTGCAACCTAGATTACAAATAAATTGCAAAATATTCAATTATGACAAAAATAACATCCCAAAGTTTAAAAAAAATATTTAAAATTTTTTGTGTTAAATTTTTTTTTTCATGAAGGAGTAGATTTTTTTTACTGTGAAGTAGTCTATCTTGTTCCCCAGAAACTTTCAGTCCCAGAGAACCTTCTATGATGTCCCTCTGTATTCAGAATGTCAAACGATGGCTTTCCTAAAACAAGAATTTCTGCCAAAAAGTGAAACTGAGAAAAATGCATTCCAAGTTTCAATTTCTGTATTTTTTTTAATTTTCGGACGATGCCAGAAACTCGAAATCCACCCGAGTCATTGGTGGCACCTTCAACTACATGAGCATCGGGGCAGAGTGTTGAGGCCCCCGAAATGATACGTGAGCTTTGTGAAACTGATGCCACAGTCTCTTCCAACGACACGGAGACGCACCGCGAGTTCGTTCTCTCGAAACTTGCCAATTGATGGTGAGTGCGGTGTCGCAACAATGTCTCCGCAAGTCGAGCAGCTAACAACAAACTGAAGATTGATGCTAATTTCTTCTTCTCGCAAGCTCAGTAGTTCTCCGTGGCATTTGGGGCGGAGTAAAATCGCAACCAGAGTTTGCAGGGGGACACATTGAGGAGCCGATAGCCGTCCAGGGGCTTTTCAACGGGAGCGTCTGTCGGCTCCGGGTCGTCCGTAGCCTCGGCGTCGAAATCGAGCAGGCTGAGCTTCGTCTCGAACGTAATCAGCACGTCCGATTTGGAGGAGACATGAAGCCGATCAGGAGTCAAGAGATGAAGCCGTAGGCTCCGATGTCCGCCAAGCACCAGTTGAGCTCGGAGATGGTGACGACGGCGGCGGAGATGGGTCGCCGTCTCTTGCGAAAAGTCCTGCTGATCGACCCATTGGTTTTCGCCGTCGAGAACGCCGGCCAAAGCTACTGCGAGTGCTAACTTTAAAAGCAGGCATTCCTCGGCAGAAAAACTACCGGGAACAAAGAGGGAAAACGAACCTAAACAGCGGCGAACTAGCGATACAATCAGAAGTGAAAGAAGCTGCCAAAGCGTGCGCATGAGGCGAACAAGGAGCTACGTCGCCGAAGGCGGCCAATCGGAAGCCCCGTTTCAGGTCGCGACCAATGGGATTGCTGGTATCATAGTTCCCACATTTTTTCTGCTTGTATGTACGGTGTTCTCCCGGGCCACAGATAGCTTCTAACGTAGCAAGCTTATATGGGCAGAAACTAGGAAAAACGGTGTTTCCAGCGAGGGTAAGATATCTCGACTGCATCCAACGAGCGCAGAGTAGGCCTAATTTGAAAATGCCGAACCCTGCTGTCTGCTCGCTCGCAGGTCGTGCGCGGCCGCGAGCTTGTCGAAAATAATATTTTGCGAAATAAATACTGGACATTTATAAACGAAACTTTCTGAAACTATGCTTCAGAATATAGTGAACCCAAATATAATATTTTTTGAAAATGCATTTTTTCGGAAAAAAATGGAACTTCGGGGCCGTAGCCCCCTTAAGTAGCTTTCCGCTTATACTCAGTTCAGAAATATTTTATTACAGGAGTCCCTCGTTATGACAAAGTCAGCAGGACGGTAAAAAAAATTCGATACATGTGGTAATTCAATAAAAGTGAGAGAGAGAAGAAGAGCGACAACAGCCTTGAACGAACCTCGGTGATGACAGTTTGTGGCACCTTTATTGAGAAGTAGAAAAGAATATTAATGTGCAGTTTGCTAATATCTTTATTCGGGCATCGGTCCTCCAATTGCTTCATGCATTGCAAGAGCACTGTCATCGCCGCTGCACTCCTTTGTTCCAAAGCAGCCGTAGGATGTTTCGCATCTGCAGTCGTCATGGGGATCAGTGGCCGAGTGGGCCAGCACACACCAGCTCGGAGCATGTGGAGCGAAAGCTCACGCTGCAGAACCCAGGCATCCTGGGTTTGATCCCCACCCCTGCCTGTTTCGATCTGGACGAGCATTGTACCGGCGTGCAGTCAAGTATAACTACTGCGTGGTGCACGTTAAAGGCTCCAGGCAAGGGGTTGTACTGCACTGGCTAAGTTGCTCATCTACAGCGAGTGACTCGTCGCAACTTTGTAATGGCTGACCAACTACACGCTGTATAAATATCCACACAACCGCCCAAATTATTATCTGCAGTCGTCGGTATTTCTCGACAGGCCTCTTCGACATCTCTTCATCTTAATCAGTTTACCGCGGGAGCGAATCGAGGTTATCCTCAGTGGCTTCACCAACGTGTTAGCATACACTCCTGTGGGGATTATTGTAGCTCTGGGAATCATGCTCTGAGAAGCATGCACGCACGGGTAAGTCTGACACGCATAAAACAGTGGGCGATCTTCCGTCTTTAAGTCACGGACGCACTTCCTCCTGCACGAAACTCTTCTCGAGCCCGTCCAGTATGTCTTGCTTGTTCTGCAAGATGGTGGAAAGTGTCAAACAGTCGACTGCGGAATGTCGACATCCTTGGCAATTTTGAACGTGGGCTGGCCACCTTCTTCAACCTCACAAAGCGAAGCTGGTTTTAGGAAACACTCCCATATGATGCAGGTGTGCTGCGTTAACAACATTGGCGCGCGGGCACCCACGTGGACGCTGCTCCCTGGCCGCGTTGGCGCACCGTCCGTCACGCGTTTGCTCCGTTTTCTGTTTGCTAACTGCCCAGTTTGCCGTTTGCCCCGGTAAAATAGGAGGAACTGAGGCAAGGGTCTTCCGTGCACCTCCGTGTAGCCTTGCGTGCTTTCGGCAGCTCTGCCTCCGTAACAAACGTGGTCGGCTCACCATATATTTCGAATAATCCAGTTTGAGGTGCATGCATTTGGGTCGGGACCGCGTTAAACTTGGATTTTAAAGCAATGATTTGAATAAAGCGAATTCGTTATAATGAGGGACTACCATATTTGTCCGCAGTGTCTGAATTGTTATTTTGTTTCTAAGCCTTTATTCTTTTCAAAATTTTAGTAAAAGTAAAAATGTCGCCTTCCTTTTAAAGCTTAGGAGGAGAGAGCATTTCTGGCTGCTAATAAATTGGCATTCAGATTGTTGCTTTTGTGTAGCATATATTATGTTTGATGGTGGATTTCTCTTTTTTTTTTTAGCTAGTACTTGTTTTCACCTCAAGAATCGTTGTAAAAGAAGTCCGGCTCCTTGCGGAACATTACTAATTTCCCCTTTTACCTAGAAAAGAGAGATGTGTGTAGATGCATTTTAGATTAGATGTGTGTTATCTTATCAAGAAGTACACGGTTCAAAGGCCAAAGGTATCGCTTCTTTCTCTGACAACCAAATAGTCTAAGAACTACTTCGCACGGCGTATGAACGATGCATAAAACTTCCTTTTTTTTTTCTTGGCGTGAAAACCAGTGTAGTCATTGTCCCATCGTGCAACTTAATTGAAAATAAACAGTTGTTTGAGGGGATACAGAAACAAAGTTTGAGGGGATAGAGAAACAAAGCTTAGGCACTCTGTCCTTTGCCTAAATATGAATTATGGTATAGGACCATCTTGTAAACATAATTGTTTCAATGGGAAATGCAAGAAAACCTAATTTAAGATGAACTGAGCAATTGCCAAGTGATGCTTAGCAGACGTTTTTGAAGCTGTTTTAATGCCATTGCATCGCGTGTTTCATAGAGCAGGGCTCTTTTGTAGAAATGAGTTGGAACCATGTGAACTCTTGGGTCATGAACGTGAGCGTGTAGTCGGTGAACGCTCGGCTAGCAGAGTCGGCATTATGATGTTGTATTGTGAAATGTCGGGTTGTTAAACTGTTGAGGGCTATCTCGTGCAAAGTACAGAGTTAGCTTCCTTGGAGGAGGAGAAGGACGGGAGGTCCCCCAGCGAGTCGATGCTTTACGAGCCTTTCGCACTTCAACAAAATAACACCGTGTCATTGTGCATGCAAAAAAGTGGTGACACAAGCCATGTTAAGAAGGCACATGTCAGGAATGCAACAAATATCCCATTACATACCTCATGCTTTGATGGCTGCCTTGGGAATGCTTACCGGGGTGGGGCATTTTTTTTGTATGTTCCTAGCTTTTGATTTTCCCATACACGATGTTGTGCAAAATCCACTCAATCGACTTTGGAATCCTTCTACATCCCTGGGGTGAAACCCTTGTACCAATAAACTCTAAAGCCTTGCTCATCAACCTCATAGGTTAGGACTGCTGTAGTTCTCTGAACACAGTTTTGAGTAATTTGTAAAAAAATGAATAGAAAAAAGAGTGACTGATTGAGTGTGTTTGGTCTTGTAGGTTGTGGGCATCGTAACGCGGAAAGACCTGGCGCGGTACCGCACGACCAGCCACTATGGACGACTCAGCATGGAAGAGCTTCACATCTCCCACGGGTGATCGGCGCTCAAGTTGCCCTTCACCCATCAACTGTGATAGCAGCTTCTCATGTGCCAGTGTAAGCAGCCAGAGTGCGCTCCGTGAGAAGCACATCACTTTCCCACGATACTCGCCGGGAACGGAATCACTTTCGGCGACAGAGCGGGTATACAAGGTCCACTCTACGCCACATACTCTTTTATGCTAGTGGAACGAAAAGTAATTGCCGACGTTAGAAGCTAGAATTTGCCACAAATGCGTAAATTTGCTTCGGTTTTTGTCTCGGAGAGTTTCCACGCACAGAGTCTAGACTCTGCATCAGCCGTTTCATGCAGCGTTGTTGAGGATTGCCTGGCTTCCGCGCTGCTCCAATGCTTTCAAAGAAATGTGCACTACCGCACGTAGCTTTGACAGTGTTCTCACAGCAGTGTTGGCAGTGCGGGACTGCAACGACGCGGAAGCCACGCTGGTCTCGACATTGTAGCACAGAATAGTTGTTGCCGGGTGTAGTAAACAAAAAAGTCACTGTCGTTCAATGGCAAGTTCTCGTTGAAGCTGACAGAGGACCCAAGGCTTGCGTTACTTGGAAAGGGTTTGGAAAAAGTTAGAAAACAGTCAGATTTCTGACACGATAGGTTAGATCTGTTTGCATATTTAAGTGTGAAATTCATCGTAGTAATGTTTTGCTGCCACATTAGTTACAGCATTTCATATTTGTCGAATGATTCTTGCCTGCGTTAACGAGCGTTCATTGTGAAGTCGGGACAATGTTATCGACTGTTTATGGAGTTGCACTGTATGAAACATAGAAATTTGCTCGAATACGAATCGGAACTGATTAACACATTTCTGGTAGATTGCAGCTACATCCGCTGAGTGTTGCTCTAGTATCGGCTTATCTTCTTTGTTACCTTGTCGGAGTTGTTGTTATGTAGGAGTTGGCAAACGGCTGTTTAATGCTTTGCCACGTTTTTAATCCGCATTTCGTACGCACAGGTGCCCTTTCACCGAAACCGTTTTCTCAGAGTGACGTCGCTTTTGCCGTAGTGCATTGCAAACCAAAGCAGTTTTTTTCTATTGTTCCCGCAACATGTTTTCTGTGCGTTTGTTCCTATAGTGCTTGTTGTCGGACGGGTAAAACTATGTCTAGTCATGCCATATTGTCAAGGCGAGGAATGATTTCAATGCAATGTTTTGCAAGATTCCGTGTTGTGGACTGTTTTCCGACCTGGTGTGATTGCCGGATCCTGGAAATGAATAAAGCTATATATACTTTCTTTCTCTATGCCTGGAAGATTTTTCCGAGGGTGTGGACGCCATCTTCAGAATCTGGTGTCTTTTTTTTTTTGTTTTTGAACAAATGATGGATTGGAACTGTGAGAGAACTTTCAAATTAGGTTGTGACGTCAGAGTCAATCTGTGGATTTGATGCGGTGAAAATGTGAAACGGAAGTGCTGTGTCATCCTCGGCGAGTGTAGGGAGCCAAGGCGCTTTCACATAACGCTTGCTTGTACTCCTAGAGGTTTCTCCAATACAATTTAAGCGTTGATAAGCCACGCATTGATCCGTGGCCATGAGCGAATGCTTCCAGGTACGTCTTCTTAGAGTGTTCAGTATTGGTGATGATCATCAAAAGTTTCTGTGAATGGCTTCATATGTTGTGCTAACTCTAACTAACCTATAAGTGGGGCTACTGCTAACTAGCCCATGAGTGGGGCTCTGGTTTTAAAAAGAAGTCTATATCTACGGCTTTACTTCACATTTATCAAGAAAAAGGGCCCTGCTAAACTGTCCGCAAAGCTGGTGCTTTTTTTTTATTTTGAGAACCAGACCAATATGTTTTCTCTTGCTACCATCTCCTATCGGTACTGGGATGTTTTCCGAGTGTATACAGGTGTTGCGCATGCTCCCTAGAGGTTGGGCAGTCTGATGACCATGTCCTGTTTTTGTCGACGCAGACCCTTTTTGTTCGACATTAAAAATGGACACCGAAAACAGAGTCTGGTTAGACAAAATAAACTAATAAAAAAAAAAAAAAAATCTCTAAAATGCAAAAAAAAAAAAAAAAAAAACCGCTAGCACGGAATTTTTTTATTTATTAGAAGGTTTATGACGTTTTCAGGGTTTGTTTTTCTTTGAATTGGGGGGGGGGGGGGGGGTGTTCGGGCTGCATTTTTTCTTGCAGATTCAGTGTTTTTGGCACCCATTTTTGTTCTTGGACAAAGAAATTTGCGTGCAGTGATGGAAGTGCTTCGCCAAATTGTGCCATGAATGCGTCTGCAACATTTTACTCAAAAATGTCTTTTTTGCTTAAAATTGCACCACAACTGCACAGAGCAAGCTTCAACGAAAAAAAAAAAGTAATTATTGGTCGACTCTAATGTTCACAGACGCAGGAGGAAGAGAAAATGGTACAAATATGCATTTCACAGCATCTCTATACTTACCGTATAGTTTGTCTCATCTTGGGTCAGACCACAGTCGAAGGCTCAAACACATACAAACACAGAAACTAAAAGCACAAGTCACGAGACACTCGCTGCACTTGATTGGTCTAGCCGATGAATGAGAACGTATAAGAAAATGAAGAATGCCGCGCTTTAACGGTGCTTTGATTGGTCCCACTGGCTCTTAGCGTCGGCTGCGCTTTGACTTTAGGTGAAATGAAGATTTTTCATATGTCGTGCTGCCCAGTTGATTGCAGACGTCGTCTAAATTTCCTGGCAACAACAGTAGCTAAAAGTCGTGAAAAAAAATTTTGCAGAATGGTAGGATGGCGGATACTGTACGTGATAAGACAGAACCAGGGTCCTGTACTCCTGATGAGATCAATTGAGTATCGTGTCAGACACATGCCTCCGTGCCGTGGCGACAAAGTACCGTCGCACCTGTGCCGCTTGCGTCAATGCTCACCTCTCACCAGAGCACACGTGTCGAGCTTCACCGCTTTGAAGTCAACCAGTTAACCCCTAGTCTAAAATAGAAAGAAAAAATGATGCGGGTCTATATTTGAAGAAATACGGTAGTCAAGGGAGTTCCCGTGCAGGCTGTTGACTGAAGGAGCAGCGAACTTTGACTCAACTCTGGTTCCAACGCCCCTGAAGAGCAGCGCCGCATTTAAAGTTCAAGTTAAAGCTTTCATAATACTTGTGGGTGGCTTTGTTATCATAAACTGTTTTTGCAGTTTATGATATTAAAGGATTCAGATTGGGAGGTTCGTGGAACTTGGGCCGTGCATTTTAGTGGTAGATGTGTTAATGCATATGCTGGTTTTTGCTGGCATTTTTCAGAAATTATATTTCCGGGCCGGGTAAACTACGGTAGTGATTATAGAAAAGGGGGGGGGGGGGGGGGGATTGAGGCTTTATCCAAACTGAAGTGTTGCGCTACGATTCATTTTCCAACCCTTTGCTTAGTACACGTTGTATATGGAACCTACTCTGACCAGAGATTTATTTCTAAGATGAAAGCTCTCTGTTCCCGTTGTGCCTTTTTTATTCTTTTTACGAAAGGTGCACAAGTAATATGTTCAAGTGTCAAAGGGGAACTCGGTCACTATCACGGATGAACTCGTTCAGCGATGCAATCATTGTTTTCTTTTTAAGTGATCTGCTAACAGACGTTAGTACCTGCTCCAAAAGCTTGAGTGTCTGCTCCAAATCAATATTTTGCCCCCTAGAGAACCTGCTCCAAAAGGGCAAATGCCACTTCCATTACAGTGCGTGTTTCCGGACTCATGTTCAACAAAGCAAATACTTGAAAAAGGCTAAGATAAGAGGAGATAAGTGTTTTGCTCCCAAAAGGGCAGTTCAGTATGGGCTGTGTTCCAAGCCAACAAAACACAAAATAAAATTTTGATACTTTTTCCCGGGAAGTTTGTGATTCAGGGTACTCAAACTGGGTTCCGGGGAACACGGGTTCCATGAGCTAATTTCATTGGTTCTGCGAACACCCGAATTGCAACCCCCCTCCCTCCACCCCCCATGCCGCAGGCTGCGTGGCAGGACTATGCAAAGCATCTTCGTCTCACTTTGTACTGACATTGCGATTCATATAGTGGGGATATATGGGAAGCAACACAAGCAACGGCAAATATGGCGGGGGCGGGGGGGGGGGGGGAGGGGGAGGGGGAGGGGGAGTGTTTCGCGGCAGTTTTCGAGGCTTCCTGGTGTTTCATGAGGCCAAAAAGTTTGAGAACCTCCTATGTCATTCGAAGCCGTCTCGAATTTAGAGTTATTGATGTTTTCCCCGAGTTTGATAAAACCGGACTGAGGGTTCATTTTCGGCATTTATCAACATTTACCGAAAACGCCGAACCCAACCCACAAACACGACACAGGGAACGAAGCACGTAAGGCAGATTAAAAACATATATTTCAGCAGCAGCGGCGTACATAACGGCACAAAAAAGGAAACTCCACGTCCTCCTCGTATCCCGCATTGGCACTCCACTTTGTAAATACTCTGCATCGTCGATCGCTCGCCATCGTATGTACATTCCTTTATAAGTGCACTCCAAACTGCTTATGTACAGGCCTAAGGAGGGCTGTTTGGAACTTGATAAAATGTGCTCTCGTTTCTACGTGGGTTTGGCGGCTCAAGCGTAGATGCATTCTTCCGCGAGTACGTCGTGACGGTACGGATGGTCCCAAAGATTTTACGTCTGCTGTTTACGACGATCGTTTGTAAGGCCATTGTGGCCACATTGCTAGGGCAATTTGTGAGGGGCCTTATTGAAGGCAAATGGGAAAACAAAAGTATGATAACCTGACTGCTCCAATGTTTTCCCCATATTGATGAGTATTTCGAAGCAGAGTAGTAAGATAGGATAGGGACAGCTTGAACTTGGGAGACGAAAAACCGTAAAAAACAGAGATAGAAGAAAATTGCAAAACATTTTTTGGCAACTTTCTTCTATCTTTGTTTTTTGCGTTTTTTTTTTCATCTCCCAAGTTTACGCTGGCTCTATCCTAGTAATGCACCAACTAGCTCAATGCAAGTCCGTAACTTAGTATAATACTTTAGGCCAGAAAACAAAAAAATTTCCGAGGGCTCAAAAAAAGAAAAAGGGAATCGGTCAACGTCGTACAAAGATGTCTCGTACAACATTGGATATATAGAAGACCAAACATAATTTTTGAGCCAATTATTTCTGTAGCTTTAAATTTCTTCCACTTCATCTTTTATATGCGAATGACCGGAAAAGAAAATGCTGGCGCATTCACTATGGAAAAAGAGCACGGACCTCCCCTTCGAAACGGCTACAGCGAGCATCAGACCGATAAAGGCAAGATAAGACCCACATCTTCAACTAATCCTACACGAGGTTGGATCACATGAGCAGATCACGAGCTTGGGACGCCCAAGATTAAGTCCTCGTACGAGACTCGACGCTCCGAGGCGACGCACGTCCGACGCAACAGCGGATCTCGAGTAGATCTTCACTTGGTCGGAACCTTTCGTTGTTCGCCGGAACCCTTGGCCCGGACCTTTCGCTGGTCGCCGGAACCCTTGGCCTGAACCCTCTGCTGGTCGTAGCAAGCCCTCGCCGGAACCCTCCGGACAACCCTCCCCTTGCGGACAGCTTCGGCGTACGTCAGGCTCCCCGGAAGCTGCACTTTCGTCTCTTCCGCGCGCGGCGGAACCTGTTTATCCACGTCGCACAGCTTCGAGATGTCGAGGTTCGTCTTGAGCATCCGCTTCCCGGGGCTCGAACCGCGGCTCGACGCCTGGTTCGACTTCCGCGGCAAAGCGAGGAGCGCCTCGCCGCTCGCGGACTCGACGCCCGTCGCATCCGTCACGGTCTGCTTGAGGACCGCAAAGATCTCCGCAAACAGCTTCTTGTACTCGGGAGGGCTGCGCGAGAAGTGCGTTCCGAGCGGATCGATGCCTCCGGCCGCGGCAAGGTCCAAAGCCAGCTGCCTCCTCGCTTCCGCTGATGACGCCGGTTCCGACGTCTGGACCGCCTGGTCCGAGAAGCAGCGTTCGGCGGTCGTTCCTTCCGAGAAGCCCGACGACAGGGACGTCTCGCCCGACTCCGCCGACTCCGCGTCGCTCGCGTTGGAGAGTGACGGATAGTCCCTCGCCTTCTTCTCCCCGTGGTCCAAGGACGGCTTGGCGCGTCCCCGCGACGCCCACGGAGCCGGAGATCCGGCCGCGGTTCCGCCTGCGGGTTCGTTGAGGTCCAACGAACGGCAGCGTGCGTCCAGGAGGGCCTCGTACTTGTCGATGAGGAGGCGGTACTGCGCGTCCAGTTCGCTCAGAAGGGACACCTGGCTCTCGGCGTCTTGGCTCGGGGCCGGCGGCTGCGGCACTGCCGACATGTCGGGTAGGCTGTCGTGGTCCCCGTAGACCACGACGCCGTCTTCGAGTTGGACCATGGAGAAGTGGTCCAGCTCGGCTAGCTCCTCCTCGGGCTCCTCGCAGCGGTCCAGCTTGCTGAGGACCTTGCAGCTGGGACACAGGTGCCTGCGAGCGGGAAAGAAAAAAACATGAACTGTCGAGGGCAGAGTTGCTGGGGTTGTGTTCCAAAACTCGCTAGAGTAGATCAGAGTTACTCCCATGGGTCACATCACGAAATAACGCTGGACGCGAGTAGGTTTTTGAATGACAAGGAAAAAAAAAACCTTAAAGGCTGGTTCACACATTTGCGTCTGAATGATCGAGTGTGTTCTGACCGCTTACGACAAGAGCACTCTGGCACTATCTATTAAGTAGCTGAAACACCTCTGATCTTCATACATTTCATACATTTTTATGCCCCAGTCCTTCACCGTCGGCTCGACATAATTCTCGCACAATGTTATGAGTGACCATTTCCCAAAGAGATTGCGTAGATTTGATTATGCAAATAGTCCTGCAAAACTTTCGGCCTATTTATCCGCAGATCTAAAAGGTTCTCGTTTCGGGGCTAGCCAATAGATGACATGAGTAGCGGGCACGGCCACACTCAAACGCAAATGTGCGAACCAGCCTAAAGACCACGGCGTAACTGTGTGTAGCGACAATAGAAAACCGTGTGTGGCCTGCACTCGCCTGTCGTCGTCCTCGAGCAGGTCCATCTCCATCTGCAGGTTGAGGCACTGGTGCTCCCTCTCCTGAGACGCCAGCACCTGCTCTTGAAGCCGCATGTTCTCCTGAAGGCGCGAGGCAGGAGACAAAAATGCTGCATCATTCTCAGCAAATGACGCCGCACAATAAGCACACTTGGGTTCTTTGTCAAACTTTGGATGGCATTCAAACTGGGGCAGATGTACCGATTACCCGCAAGCTTCCGAAACTCGAATGTCAGGATAGACAAGAGAAGGGAGGGAGTAAAAAAAAAAAATTACAGGAAGATCCATCGGCAGATTCTTAGGGGATGAGTTATCATGACCCTTCGAAACCCCACACACGTGCACGACGTTGACTCCTTTGCTTTTTTCTGTTGGCTTTCTTATTTGCTTCCTCTGGTTTTTTTTCAGCCTCTTTTTGGCCTTATGTGTTAGCGTTTCCCAAAGGGGGACGTATGTGGCGTTTCCCAAGGGGCCAACAGATTCCCTAAGAATCCACCAATGAATCTTCCTGTAATATTTTTAACACCTTTTCTGTACTCTGCCTGTCAGAGCATGTCGATGCACTTGGATATGGTCATCTATATCACTCGTGGAACGAACCACATTCATTATCATATCACTCGTTCTGGAAACCCAGAGCGAAGAACAACTGGCAACGGCAGAGCGGCAACTGAGCACGCCTGCATTCCGCTCCGCCGCGGCAGAACACCTCCTAGGAGCCGTAGTGCTGAATGAGACGGTGTCATCAAAGAAGGCCAACGCTGGGCACAGATTGGACACGACGATTGCGTCAACGTTCTGCCCAAACTTGACCCGAAGCTGAGCACTGACCTGCTGCAGTACTCGTTTCCGATCTGTGTTCAGCGTTGGCCTTCTCTGATGACGCCATCTCATTCAGCACTACGGCTTTGTTATCTAGGGGGTGTTGCATGGCGCCTTCTCCTCTTTGGCTCCGCGCCAGGTGCATGTGTGATTTTTACGAAAACGTAAGTGGTCGTTTTGACGAAAGCTTGGCGGTGTCTGTCAGTTTGTCAGCGCCGAGGAGAGGGAGAGGACGCATACTGGACGTTCAGCACTTTGGACCAAAGAGAGCGTCGCAAGCGTCACCCCCTCCCCCTCCTTCCGCTCTCCCCGGCGCTGACAAACTAGAGACACCGCCGGGTTTTCATCAAAACGAGCGTTCTAACGCTAACACATTAATAAACAAGACTGCAGCAAAATAAGTTGCAGAAACGCACGATTGGTTGTTGCCGGCCCGCAAAAGTGTCAAAATGACAATGAAATGCCAAATCGGCAACGTGAGCGGGGGCAACACAGCATTCTCTAAGCTTTTCATCCTGTTTCTATATGGCTCAGAAAACATTTGCCACAGTGGGTTCGATCCACTATTGCTCTGACTGATACCGCCTAGAAGACAGTCCTGCACCTCTTCACCCCCAACGTCACTGCTAGAGGAGCCTCGCAGTGCCACCTAGCTCGCGTGTGCTAACATGCGGCGTACTCATTGCGCTTCAACGTGCTCGCCGTTTAAGGCGCGAGTCTGGGATCCACTATAGTGGGTCCCAGACTCGCGCCTCTCGGATCCACTACAGTGGACCCGAGAGGCTTTGTCGGATCCACTACAGTGGATCCGACAAAGCCTGTGCATTATGTCCTTGTTATAACAAGGACATAATGCACAGGCTTTGTCGGTATTGCTCCGACGCTGCCGTTTCCAACATGTACGGCGCCCATAGGAGGATCAGGAACTCACCTGTATGAGGTCATCCAGTTCCGACTGCAGGCCTTCCTTCTGCTCTTGCTCCCTTGACAGCTGGCACTTGAGGCGGGACAGGGAAGAGCGCAGGCGCACCAGGTCCGTCCCAAATGGACTTTCCTGCATCCACAGTATCGGGGCCGTTTTTTTTTCTTTTTCATTTTGCGAAAAAACATTAGTCTTGTGTACTGTGTAAAAAAGAAAGTTGACAAGCACCCAAACAACTTCAACGCATAGCAGCAAAGCGAACGTGTCTAATGTATCAGCTGCCTCTTTTGCCGCTCCTTTCGACGCTCTCTTCCTCATTCTTTCTCATGACGCCATCTATGTCAGCGCTTACCGATTTGCCACACACTGCTCCCATCTTCCTTTCACTGCCTAAATCCCGGTTCATCTCACATATCACTTGCATCTACTTTCTAGTTATCCATGTAGAGCTTTACACATGGAGGCAACGCTAATGACAAGAACTGGGTTGTGCCAGAAAAAGGGAAAGTTGTTTGTGGATCTAACTTGTTGATAGATTGATGGTACGACCAAACAAAACCAACACAGTTAGACCGTCCCAACTGGCCCAGAACTCAATATGACACAATATTAGAATTTCACTTTCACACGTGCAGGTGTAAACCTGTGACTGAAGGTCAAACTAACGGGTGACTCACATTTTGTTCCCTCCTCAAATACTCACTTTTATCTCGAACGAACAATAAAAATATATCAATCTCTCGGCACTGGACAAGAGGCGTAAGTGGATGCACAGAAGGTATCACGATAGAAATACTCTGTCTCTACGTATCACACAAACACCTACTAGACAACGAGATTATATTGCTGAATTTCTTTTTTATGTCACCTACTGAAAGCCGTTGTAAGGCACAGGTTGAACACAAGTACCGCATCAGCATTTGGCTGGGACTTGCGCTCAATTGGTTGAACCCGAGGATTGGACCCGAGGTGTCCAAACCTCCTTTTCGGTGGCTTTTGGGAGCTGACATAGAAAATCAAGCTCTATGGTCACTTGATGACACTAGCAAAACGAGAGGGATAAAAATTTTCCAGTTTCTACAGCCACATTTTCTTCCGAAGTCCCTTTAGCTATACCTTCAGTACAGTTCCTGGAACCTGTCTCCGACCGGCGTGTTTACCCTGTCCTAAAATGCAATCCCTCAATTTGCGCCCGATCACGTCATAAAAGTGTCACACTGTCGCCGACCACGATTTTGGCAGTGTCACAGCAGCAGTGGTGGATGTGGCACACGCCTGTTCTGCTGCAGGTCGCTCTCCAGCTTGAGAATCCGTGGAAGCTTCGGGAGTTGGGACTCCGCGACAGCAGCAACACTCGCATTCGCTCGTACTTTTTGCCGGGACTTCGAGCACCAACTGTGAGGATTGCGACATCCGACAACATAACGCCTCCGCTTCCATGCTGTCATCTGTTGCCACTTCAAGATCACTCCTGACATATGGGCAGCACAGCATGGAACGGTATATACACGAAATGAAAACGCATTCCATGGGTACTGTTGTTTCCAGTAAAGACTTAACCATATCACGCCCTGCAAAGTTTGTTGCAAAACTGAGGAACAATAAACTGAGGGCCCAACGTGCGGCTCCTGAAACCTCCATGTGTGCTTGTGCAACCTGAACATCCAGAGGCGCCAGACTTTGCCAGCCCTTGGCCGGCGGGAGACTCGCCTCGAAGCCGATGAAGTCTGAGTGGTCGGCATGGTCGGGACCGTCCAGGAAGTTCTGCTGGTCGCTGTCTTGCTCCTCCTGGTCTGCTGAGGATGTGTCCTGGGTGTCCTTGGGCCTCAGGCTCAGCCTCAGGTTGTCTGCAAGCTCCTGAAGCTCCTCGCACTTCTTCTCCAGCAGGTCCACGCTCGTAGATAGGCTACCATAAAGAAATCGACGAGTTAATTTAGATTGTGCTGTGCATTTGTTTAGATGGCAACAAGTTACAGTAGACCTTCAATAAATTCAAACTTTAGGGATCCACAAACTCGGTTGGAATTATCCGAGGTTCGTCTAAATATGATGCATGATAAAGTTATGATTTGCCATATGAATGGCTACACATACAAAGCAGATTTTTTATTATTTCCTTTTACAAGGCCTACTGATCATGAGCAGGTATGCCACACATGAAACATTTGTGAAATGTACGACATAAGTTTATTTATCTCTCTCAAAATGTTTATCGTGGACTGTTTGACAGAACATGACAACTCAAAACAAAATTAAGTTTGTTCATGAGACCAAGAAGCTGTCTAATGTGGACTATTAAGCGGGGGACACACGAGCAATGAAAATGGGCACCGAGCGGCAGTTTTCATAGCAACTTAAAGGACGCTGTGACGGGGGTTTATGCCACGTTACCATATGGAAATTTACGTGTAGTACCTGTTTTCATAGCTCATATCATATGTGCCCTGCTTGAGCCCCGTTGAGTGCGCTTCTCACCACGCACTAGTGCACTGCAGAGAAGCAATACCCGCAAAAGCAAGCTCCGCGGGTGTTGCCTCCCTGCAGTGCATCGGTGCTCGGAAAGAAGCGCAGTCATTGGGTTCCCGAGAACAAAAAGTATGAATTACATTACACAAAAAGGCTGTTCGAATTAAGCGGCCTATGAACACATTAAGAACGTAGCGGAACAACCTAAACTTAAACATTTGTTTGAGTTAACCAGAAGTACGAAATATCAAAGTTCGAATAATCGCGAGCCTACTGTAGTCAGCCCCGTCTTTGCGTTAAGAGCCATTCATATTGAGAGAACTTGGCCAACGGGCAGGGCCTCGTAACGGGATTCTACGATTCTGTTGCTCAATGTCAACTGTGACGAGACACTGCATTTTGTGTACTACGCACTTGAGGATGCCGTGTAAACCCTTGGATTGCTCGGCTTCGACATGCGCCAGGGGAGCTTATAATAAAATGGTGGACGAAAATATGTCGGCGAATATCCCCTAAAGTCAGTGACCTAACGAGAGTTGTTCCTGCCTCCATGCGTGAACCTTCTTTCTACCTTCGATAACGCGTCGGCGCCTCGCGAGCTTCGAGTGTGCAGTCAAAGCACGGTGGAAGGCAGCGAGCGTGCGATGGAAATCGGACTTGCGAAAGAAACGCCCTGCCTCTCTCATCCTCCAAAAAGACTACAGAACAAGTCAGCTTTGTGACAACATATCATGACATATGATATGTTATGCGATCGAGAACATCATGGTTTGTTCTTCATCAGCAACAGAAGATGGCGGATGGAACGTACCATTTTTCGGTTGTCAAGCTCTTCAACCGTGGTTGCTAGACTGTTAGAGTTTCCAAAAGGATTGTCTAGCTGCTCGCCCTTTGGAAGTTATACCATAAAATGCCAAGCACTTGCCCACCAAAAAAAAAAAATTATATATATATATATATATATATATATATATCCCTACTGAAAAAAAACATTTGGCGCCTATATGAAAATAAACGGGTTCATACCGGTAACAGTTTAACCATACCGGTCACCAGTTTGTCAAAGGGGTCGCCCGTATGGCTCAAAGGGGTCCCCCGTATGAGCCATAACGGTCACCTATTTGGCAAACGGGTCGCTCATCTGGGCAAATGGGTCGCTCGTTTGGGCAAATGGGTGACTCGTTTGGGCAAAGTTGTCGCACGTTTGCTCAAACCGGTGACCATGTTGCAAACTGCACCGGTTTAATCAAACGGCTCTCCGGAGCCCGTTTGATACTGAACGTAGAGATCGGCGGCGTGGGCACGCGTAGCGTTTCAGCCGTGGCAGCCAATGTTTCCGGAAGGCTGGGAGCGCCGGTTCATCGATTTCAGATCGTCCGCGTAATGCAAGTAATTATATTTATATTTCAATCGCGCTGATGTTCGCTTATACTACAACTAAAACTAACATCTTTTTTTTTTTTTTTTTTTTTTTTACGTAAACGCGCGACGTTGGTAAGCCGATATTTTTGACAGAACTTTGAGACTTTGTCCATCTTTGTTGCCTCAATTTACTTATTCAGCTTGAATCTCTCTCGCAGAAGACGCGACCGCGTGAAAGAATGTACGTCTAGACTCCGTTTCACTTTAATTCAAGACGCAGCGAAGGTAGCATGCGTACACGCGGCTGCAAGAACATCGAGCATTGCGAGAGCACGCCCGCCGATGCAGCAGTCAAACTACGAGCTCGCGCTGAGTGCTTTCTTCGCTCGGGCGCAAGCCGAGCTTTTGGCCGCCCCGCCGCCATTTCCAAGGTTCAAGCGGGCTAAAATGCGCGCGCTCGCGAGCGCGTTTTTTTTTTTTTTTTGAGCTTACAAAAACACATTTCTCTGGAATGCCTGGGGAGAGGGAGAGGGGCTGTCCCTGTGGTCCTCGCCCAAAGCCACCTAGAGGAGGAAAGCCTGGGGGCTCCCGCGATCACGTGGGTCTACGTCACCGCTACTCGGCCTACGGTTCGGCCGCGGTGTAGTTCCGTTCCGGCTCGGCAGATGGAGCCGGCTTGCTTCGGCGTCTTTCCAGAACGTTCCGCGGCTTCTTTCGGCGTGTTCGGAGACGCTTGGTTTTGTCTCGGCTGTTTTCTTTGTTTGTCTTGTTTTAAACGTCGCACAACTTGTGAGTGCTCTGCGTTTTGTGCGCGATGATCAAGTGCTCTTTCCGTCATGCCTGACAAATGCTGTGTGCCTTGGTGTAACGGTAATTACAAAACGGGGCCCAAAGTGCACGTGTTCGGACTCCCCAAAGATGAAGCGCTGCAGAGTGCCTGGATAAACGCCATCCCCCGAGAAAACCTGATCGTTTCCCAGAGAACGAAGGTGAGGAATTCCCATTTCCAATTGTTTATCTCGCATTCGTAGTGGCATAGCGCCATTTGGACGGGCTAGCAATAGAAGGGATGTGGGAATAGGCGATAACGGCGACGTGTAGCGCGTTTAGTGGTAAGTCGCTATTATTTATACGAAGGGTATATATCTTTATAGGTGTGCGAGCGTCACTTCCCCGACGACGACGTTCTTCGGGAGGTGTCTCACGTCGACGAAGTTACCGGGAGGACGGTGACTGCGCCGCTGTCTAGGGTGCGCCTTCGCCCAGGCGCAGTTCCATCGAAGTTCCCTGGCTGTCCAGATTATTTGTCGAAGCACCATGCGAGAAGAGAAGACCCGGACAGCAAGCGATTGGGTCAAGAGGCTTCTGCAATGGAAAGAGCGCTTGCAGAGTCGATCGATTCATTTCGCAATGAGGAAGAAGCGGACCGAATACTCAGCATAAAGGACTTGTCCGACCACTTGAAAAACGTAAAATCGGCATTCTGGCATGTTATTGAGGGCAATGGACACCTCACTCTGGTGCACATTGTTGAGACTGAGGCCCCTTGGATAAAATACTCGATCGTCGTGAAGCCTGACCTTACACTAACTCTACATTTTGCGAAGACTCAGGTCACAAGGTTGGGCTCCAACTTGCTCATACCAAGAATCGCAAACAGCAAGAGGGGAGTTGTAGAACTACTCGAAAGTGTCGAAAATTGGGACAACGATCTTGAGTCAAGCTCTGAAAGCTCGCACAACGATATCTGTGCCACGATTCGTTTTCTGCTTGACAAGCTGCCCGCAACGCAAAGCGAAGATCAAGCAGCGGTCATCCAACTGCTCGCCGAGCAACTGAAGCTGATTTCTTCCAAGAACGAGCGAAGGCGTTATTCAGTGGATTTTATGGTGTTTGCATGCATTCTTTTCACAATATCGCCTCATGCATACCAGTACATCCGTAGCTCTGGAAGCATTGTTCTGCCACACCCTAGGACAATCCGATCGATATGCTCCTTGTTTGGAATGAGCCCTCAAAACGAGCAGCAAAGTTCAGGTTTTCTCAGCTACATGGCAAAGAGGATCTCTGACTTGAACGATGACCAACGCTATGTGACCTTGATGGTGGACGAGGTCCACATCAAACCGTTTTTTGATTATAAAGGAGGTAGCATTGTCGGTGTCGCACTTAATTCCACAGAAGTAGCGAATAGTGCGTTCGTGTTTATGGTGCAAAGCATCAAGTGCCAATTTAAGGAAGTCGCTCACGTCGTACCCGTGCACGGAGCCAACGCCGAGTTTCTGCACAAGTTGCTTAGAGACGTGATTTGCGGGCTCGAGAAAATCGGGTACCGAGTGATGTGCGTCGTAACGGATAACAACGCAGTGAATCGAAAGGCTATGGCTCTCTTTAAGAGCTCGATGGACAGCCACGACACGCCTGGTACAACAACGCGCAACCAGGACACGCCTGACACAACGATGCGTCGTTCAAACGAGTTCTGCTACCCACATCCGTCTGATCCCAACAGGCCGCTGTTTTTTTGTGATCGACACTGTACACATAATCAAGTGCATACGCAATAATTGGCTGAAGCAGGACGATCAATGCTTCTGGTTCCCCGAGCTTCATGCTGACACGGAAGGCCAGCGGCGCATGCTGTGTGCGTCGTTCAAAACCAGCAAAGCTGCCTACGACTTGGAATGTGACCAACTGCTGCGCTATGGATACAAAGTGTCAAGGAAATCCCTTTGCCCGTCGAGTATTGAGAAGCAGAACGTGAAACTTGCTCTCCAGATATTTGACAGCTCTCTTCCCAGTGCCCTCCGTGCCATTGGAGAGAAACACAACCTGAAGTTTTTCAAGGAGACGGCCACTTTCATTGAGATTATAGTAACGTGGTGGAAAATTGTCAATGTAAAGACACCCGGCAAAGGAAGCAGGCTGAAAGATCGGTTCCAAGAACCTGTGCGCCCGGCTCCAGACGACGAGAAGGTAGATTTTCTCTACGACATTTTAGACTGGTTGGACGAATGGCAGAAAAATGCAAACAACTGCAAATTGACCGACAAAACTTATACCGCACTGCACCAGTCA